CCATCTGCACTCACTTTTATGAGGCTTTCAGGAACTCTGAACTTCACATTGATAGCACTTCCCCATACTGGGTTGGCCCAGATAGTCAAAGAAAAGGACCAGGCCACTTCTCAATCCAGCTGACACTTGGCAGCTTTGTGACCTTAGATAAGACACCTTCTCTTGGGCAGTTGGACTAGGTGATCTCACCTCTCATGGTGTGAGGCCATGAAGAGGGGAAAGTACATGAATAGGAAGGTGGAACTTGATTGTCCCTGTGGTCTGGGTTTAGGAGACTCCTCTGACAACTCACTGGAAGGTAGGTGAAGAGTTCTGTGGAAACTTCTGGCTCTGGGGAGCCCATAGTGGGTACCCTATGGAGTACACCTCTGTCAAGTAATTCAAAGTCCTGTTCTTCATTCACTCTGGGATTGTGAGGAATCACCTAGCCTCAAATCCACTTCATTTCTTTTTATCTCTTCTTAGAAAGATATGATTACACTCATTCCTCAGTATCCAAGGGGGATTGGTTCCAGCACCCTGAGGATACCAAAATCTGAGGTTGCACAAGTCCCTGATATAAACTGGTGTAGTGTTTGCATATAACCTACATATATCCCCTTGTATACTTTAAATCATCTCTACTTCTAATGCCTAATACAATATAAAATGCTATATAAATAGTTATACTTTATTGGTTTTTTAAATTTCTGTTTTTAAATTGTTGTATTTTTAATTTTATTTTTTTGCCTGAAAAAAATTTTTTTGTTGTTTTGAGATAGAGTCTCACTCTGGCTAGAGTGCAGTGGAGTCATCATAGCTCACTGCAACTTTACACTCCTAGGCACAAGTTATCCTTCTGCCTCAGCCTTCTGAGTAGCTGGAACTACAGATGTGCATCACCACACCTGGCTAATTTTTCTATTTTTAGTAGAGACAGGGTCTCGCTCTTGCTCAGGCTGGTCTCGAACTCCTGAGCTCAAGGGATCCTCCTGCCTCGGCCTCCCAGAGTGCTAGGATTACAGGTATGAGCCACCTTGCCCAGCCATCCCTGAATATTTTTAATCCTTGGTTGAGTTCATGGATGCTGAACTCACAGATACAGAGGGCCGACTGTACCTTCTGAAATGAGTAAATCAGTAGCCTTCTGGGTCTTTATGTGGTCATATTATCACTTGAGCTGCACCCAGCATGATTGTAGAGAGCAAAACTAGCCTTTCCCAAGTATTACTGTGGAGTTGAGTTCTGCTCTGTGGCCTTTTACCCCAGTCTGGCTTGCCAAAGGTCACCTGGCCTTGGCTATAATGATATCTAGCCCAGTGCCTAGCACATTTTAGGTGTACAATAAGTATTTGTTGAATGAATGTTGTCTGGTATGTCCCTGTGCATACTAGTCTTCTGTCCCTACCTTTTCACTCCCCAACTGACTTTCTCCCTTTGGTCTTGTTCGAAGTATCATAAGTGAAAAGCTCTTAAAGCCACTTGCAAAAGATAGGTCAGGCTTGAAGAGTTGGGACATCTAGGATGCAGTGTGAATATCTGTACTTCCGGCTTCACACCCTTTCCCCCATTCTCATTACTTAGGTTTTAATAGGGGTCAGGGAACTGATTTTCATAGCTGTATATCTAATACTTTGCTGGGGTGAGTGGTGCTAGGATAGAAAGGCAGTTTCACTAAGGGAATGTCTCCAGCTCAGCATATTAAAAAATTGGGGGACATTATGGAATATGAACTGGGTGTTGGGGTGCACAAGACTTGAGGAAGACTGAGAACAGAACCCTCTCATGAGAACAGGCTCAATGATAGACACCAGGTTTTCTCCTGCCCTACAGGTTCTGAACACCTAGAAGCAATTTAAGGAACAACTCCTTGGAGATGGCTGGTCTTTGGATCATTCCCAAAACCTGCCGACCTTTCTACTGAAACCAAAAAAACTTCTTTTCTCTTTCTCTTGTGAATACGACTAGCACCCTCTCCCCCTCTTGGAACAGGAAACTGGGGCTAAAATGTGAAACAGCCCTCCCATTCATGCCCCTCTCTATAGATACTTATAGGTATCTCCGACTCCCACTGTCTATTCCCCAACCTTCGTTGATAAGAAATTCTTTTTGGCCATTTTCAGGCTCCTGAAGGCAACAACAAAAGGCCCAGAAGCAGCCTCCTTTCTAAACCCTTCCTTTTGCCTAACATCCCCTGGCTGCTGTCCCCATATGACCCAAATAAACAGATGATCATGTGAAGCCAGTAAGGCTGTTTGTTTTAAATAGCAAGCATCTCCACTAAGCTCTGGAGCAGATGGGGTATTGGGGGCAAGGGAGAGGCTGATATTCAGATCTGTGTTCACCCCACTTTAGCTCCTGCTTCCCCACCTGAAGGAAAAGGTGTCTTCAGAATACTACTTTTCAGAGCAGTGCCTACCTAATGGGATAGAGCTGGCTCTTCACAAGAAGAGTGAGAAAAATTGGACTTCAGTCTCTAGCAGAGACTCTGGGGCCGTGTGAGAGCCATGACTGCCGGAGGAAGGTGGGAGTAGACACTGGATATAGCACTCTGCGCAGAGTGCTCCCGTGCTGACCCCAAACAAAATGAGAACCTCAAGTCACTATTTGATGCTCCTTGACTTAGGATGAGTTTTAGCAGACATCGCCCTATCCTAAGTTGAGGAGCATACTGAGTGCATAGCGTACTGAGTGCATAGCGCTTCTCTGCACTATTGTAAAGTCAAAAATCTTAAGTTTCATCACCGAAAGTCGGGGACCATCTATGCTGCTTAGGGTCCTTCCACCACTGCAGCCTATGTATTACCTTTAAATTTCCCATTTTCTCTAGCGGTGCAGAGTGGGCCAGGCCCAACCATACTGGTAGCAAGTGGCAGACACCTTAAAGGAAGCAATGTCAGGGCCAGCACAGATGTAGGAAAAGGGTACTCATTCCACGGAGAAGAACTGGTCTGTTGTGTTCTAATCCCCATCTGCTCCAGCTCATCATAAGCACAGTCAGTGGCACCTGGACGTTTGTATGTGTAATGAGCTCTCCACGCTCAACTCCAGGTGTTGGGGCATTAGACGTCCAAAGATCAGATCCTATAGACTGGTGTTGGCAAACAACCCCCTTCCTCCTGTTCACTAGGTTCTTGATTTCATGATCTTCTCTGCAGATTTTCCTTTCATTAGGATGCACTATGATGCCCTCAAAGAAAGAAGCAAAGCCAGCAAGCATTTGTGCTAACTTGCTATGCTTTCAGCTAGTCCCTGAAATAGGAATGTACCCCTGTGAGTGCACAGTGTGTGTGGATGGGATGGATTGGCAGGGTGCCCTGCCTCTCAGCCATCCCCATAAAAGTTTGCTTTTTGGCTTTGTGTGACGGTGAAGCCCATGCTTCCCTAAAACCACTGACGTGGACTGCCCCACTCTTCTTGGACTGGTTAGCAAAGAAAGGCATCTGGGGCCAGAACTGAGGGGTCCTACACCTAGCATTGGGACAGCAGAACTGGACGTGCTCCAGGGTGCCCCAAATATGTCTTCAGCTGGCCGCGTCTGTCACTCCCAACTCTACCAGTGAGGTTTGTGTGACTTCCACTGAAGCAGAACTGCTCGGCGCTGGGTTTCAGGTGAAGGAGATTTTTGTTGCCCCAATCACACAATGTGTCAAGTGGTCAGACGCCTTACAGGGTGACCAGTTTGATATTCCTCCCTGGCTTTTTTCTAATTGCGGGCCCTACCCCAGAACTGGCTTCAAAGAGTGGTCCCTAGGGTCAGAGATAAATGTTCCTCCCCACCGGGCGAGGAGCAGCTGGAATACTCAATAACCTTGGACTAGTCCTTTCCAGTTTCTGGGCCTCAGTTTCCTTATCTGTAAAGTGAGAGGACTGGGGCAACCTGAAAGCTCTAACTTTCTGATTGTACTCAAGACACCCCTAAACACCAGCGCCAGTAAGGAGCAGGCGGGCAGGCGCGCCAGCCGGGCTCCCCGCCTGCCGGGGGAGCGCGGTTAAAGCCTGACACAGCGGCCCCGCCCCGCGCCCCGCCCGCTGCCTCGGTCACCCGCCGCTGGGAGGGCCGGGCTTCCGCCCTCCACGTTGTTGTTCCCGACGTGGGCCACGCCCCCTTGGCCTGGGCTGTGGACGCCTCGCCTTTACCGCCCCCACCCCAGCCCCCGAGCAAAGGGTGGCCTCCGGGGTGGCAGAGTCCGAGTCTCCATCCAGATCAGACACGCGTGGACAAAGACAAGAGTTCAGAGGAAGGAAGGAGAAAGGCATGGTTTTAAATGGAGGATGGTTAGAAGTAATGGGAAGGCCAGGGCACGACTGCGGGATTCCCCTTTCGGTGTTCCGCCCCATGTTCACTCGGTGGCCCCATCTGTGCCCGCGAATGTGACCCTGCAGACGCTGGCCCTTTAAACAGAAGGCTGGCGGCGCGGGGTGTCCATGTGGAGCTGCTCCATGCCGTGTTGTCCTGCCCGCCCATTGGCCCGCGGCCCGGTGACGTCGCCTAATAGGATGCGAACGCACTGCGGGGGGAGGAACGGAGACAAAACGCGGAACCGGATCGCCACTCCGCTCCCTTCTCCAGTTCTCTGACAGTCTCCTGCCGTCAGCTCCGCCCAGGGGCGGGTCCCGGGGGAATTGCGACAACGGGGTGGTGGCGGGATTTAGGTCGCGGGTGGGTGGAGCACAGAGTTGTAGGGTTCGAGCCAGTCTCACCATCCTAAAGTTTCCCTCGCCTGGGCTATCCTTATTTGAGCTATCTTAAGTCTTGAATGTTCCACCCTTCCTGCCCTCCAGCCGGACACATTTTGTCGTGGGTGACCAGACACGCCGCCCTCGCTCAACCTGTGGCTTGCCGTCGGGGCGGGGCGGGGCGGGGCGGGAAAGCGGAAATACAGCGCGCAGACCCAGCCGCGTCTCCTCCCGCCCCCGCCTGGGCCACGTGTGCGCGCGCCGTCTGTGGGGCGGGGCCGTCCCGCGCAGGCCCCGCCCTCCCTTCGTGAGACGCCGCGGCCCTGCGGGCGGGGGCTCCGGTCCGGGCTTTGGCTGCCGCCCCGGTGTAGTAGCGGGGGCGGCGGCCGGGGGCAGCGCGGCTCCTTCCCTTGTTGTGTGTGTCGGTGCCTCCTCGCCATCTTGTTGCAAAGCCCTTTCTTGTCGGCGGGACTCCCGGGGGCCGCGGGGCGGGAGGCATCAGAAAGGAGGAAGGGAGGGAGGGGAAGAAGGGAGGCAGTGCCGCCTTTTTTTTTTTTTTTTGCATCACGTTTTTTTTAAATTTGCAAATTTATATTTTGCAAATATTTTGGGAGACATTGATTTTTCTCCCCGTGCTCCCCCGTTCTTCCCTGCGGAGTGCGCTGCGCCGCCCAGCCCTGTCGCCCCCCGGAGGTGATCCCTCCCTCCTGCCTGCCCGCCAGCCTGACCTGTGCCCGGCTCGCGGGCCGCAGCCTCGGCCCCGGCGCGCCCCCGGCAGCTCTCGGCGCGATGAGCATAGAGACGCTACTGGAGGCGGCCCGCTTCCTGGAATGGCAAGCGCAGCAACAACAGAGAGCACGTGGTGAGCGGCCGGGCTGGGCCCCTGGGGCACTAGGGAAGGGGAAGCGAGTGACCCCGGTGTCTGAGCCCAAGCGAAACCACGGCAGGCCCCCCAACCCAGGCGGCCTGCGAAGCCGGGCAACGCACGGCTACCCGCAAGAGCCGCCGCCCGGGGAGGAGTGATGTGGGCAGTGAAATTAATTAATGAATTCATTAACATGCAGCAAGGGACGCGGCTCCTGAGGGCGTCATCCCAGCTGCCTGGCACCCCTGTGCACCTTCCGTGGGGGGCTTCTTTTGCGTGGGCCGGCGGAGCCCTCGGTAGCGCTGAGGACGTGTGAGCCGGGGGGTGGGGTGAGGGATGGTGTTGCGTGGGGGTGGCAGACCCGCGTGTGCGTGCGTGAGTGCACGGGGGATGTGTGATGTGCGCCTAGGGAGAGCGGATGAACGGACGTGTACACGGGCGTGTGTGTAGCACACGAGTGGGCGTGTGTGTAACGGAGTGGTGGTGGGGATTACTCTACGCCGAGCAGCTCTCCGGCTTCCCCGGCCCCGTGGGGAGGGTGCGGGGGGCGCTCCCGGCAGATCTACGCGCTGCTTGGGGCGGAGGCGGCCTTTGCAGAATGAAATGACATCGCGTGTCTTATGATCCTGGCCAGCCCCGCCTGACCCCGCCTCCCAGAGCTGGGCTGGGTCGCGCGTCAGGGGTTTGGGCGAGAGCCGGACTAATTGGGTGTCTGCAAAACGGCCTGCGGGTCGCTGGGGGCAGCCCCCAGGCCCCCCTCGCTGCACACCGCTTTAGCCGGTGTGGAATGTGGCGTGTCTGCGCGTTCCAAACCCGCTCTCGCCTGGAATGTTGCGTGTGCTTGCGTTCCAAGCCCGTTGGTTACACCGGGTGGTGACGTGGACGGGCTCCGCCCCCGACCACGTGCACCGGGGACACTCCCGCTGGGGACAGCGCGGTCCGGCCCCTCCTCGCCGCCTCGCGCTTGTCCGGGGGCGGGGTCTGGGCGGGGCTGGCAAGGGGCCTGGCGCCGGGTTGGGCCCTGGCCCCGGCCTCTGGGCATCTCCCTGGGAGAGCCTTTGCCCTGCGGAGGAGGGGCCGAGCTCACCTGTCGGTTCGCCCCATCTCCTGTGTTTGATCCCGAGGCGAGGGAAACCCTGAGAATCTCAGGGCAACTAGACATTTAGAGCTCACATCTTCCCACTGACCCCCAAAACGTTCTCACTAGACCCCCCCCCCCCGGCGGCAACGTGCTGGGCCATGCTGGAACAAGCCGGGCTGAGAAGGGGCAAACTTCGGTGCTCCCTCGACAGGGAGACGACGACACTAATGTCTCCTAGCCCCACGCGCCCTGGGTGGTCTGTATCTTCAGGTGGTGCTGTAAAAAGAGGGGCTGGGAGGAAAGACCTTGCTTTCCCAGACTGCCGCGAGGGCCTCCACCCTGCAGCGGCGTGTGTGCAGGACCTGGGGACTCCCGTTCCCTCCCAGCCCCCCACAGACCCCCTCTGCAGGGTCGGTTGTGGTGGAGAGTGCTTCGCTCTCCTTTCCTTTCTCTCTGCCTATTGTTGCTTCAATGATGAGTCATGCAGGAGGTAGTAGTGTGTGTTGTGTGCGCGCGCGCCGTGTGCCGCGGCGGCGGCGGCGGGCGGGGGAGCGGCGGCGGGCGAGGGGCGGGGGGCTGCGGGGCCGCCGGCCTAGTCGGGCAGCTACCGGCCTCTCAAGGTCAAGAGTCACTCGAGATATTGGAGACCTAGATGCTTGGGTTTTGCGGAACTGATGGGCTGAGACATCCGCCCACACTCTGCTCCCCCTTGTTTTCGGGGTCCAGAGCAGGGTCAGGCAATGGACAGTGCAGTAGTGGTGACCGAGGCTGTCCTGCCTATGGGCCCGGTGGTAGGGGGAGGAGCGTGCACCAGGTTTGGTGAGACTGAGTCACCTGCTGCTACCATCAACACAAGGCAGTTGAATACCTATTGTGTTTCCACTGTGTACCAGGCCCTCTGCTAGGGGTGAACAGGATTGATGCTGCTTTTACCCCCAGGGAATACTCGCTGCACCCTCCCCTTCCCACCCTTTCCCAAATAAGAAAGCCCAGAGCTGCCCAGAGAGGTGGAAGGTGATGTGGAGGAACCCAGGAAGGGTTCTCTCCTAGGAAGTTACAGAGCCTTGCTCCTCCCCAGGGGGTGAGAACTGGGGGCAGGCCAAGTTCAGCTGCCCAGTCACAACTTACTGGTGCTGGGTCAGGGGGTCTTAAGGGATGGGTGGGTGCTATAAAGCCAAATCGACTCCAGAAACCCATGTACAGATGGCCAGACCTGGTCCCAGCAGTTTAATCTCCAGAATTCATTTTCTTCTCCCCCTTGATGTTCTAGCCTCTGACCTAGAGTGGGAGGAATAGGAGAGAAGGGGGTGGCATGTGAACCTGCTGACCAGAACCACTTTGCTGGTGACCAGCTCGGAGCAGGGATCCTCTTGTCCATTCCGCGTTTCAACCTCAAGGGAGGTTTCCTGACCTAGACCAGTCAGTTTGCTCACATGATGAACCTCAAGATGTTGTGCACGTGAATATGTGAGACAGAAGACAGGAAAGGGCTGAGCCATCCTGGTGCTCAGCAAGAGGGCCTGGCCTGGTCATGCAGGTGGCTCAGATGCGACTCCGTTCTGTCTTGATTGAAGAGAACTGGTCTGAATGTCCAGAGGCTCCTGACCAAGTCTCGCCTTGGGCGTGCCTTAAGCACCAAGCTCCCTGTTAGCACTTGGGAGGGGAGAATCCCTGGTGCACGTTCTGGGCCACCCAGTGTGGACTCCTCCACCACCGGCCCTGTGCCTCCTGAGCCTCTGAGCCACAGTAGCTTGAGAAGGTTGAAGGGAGCACAATGTCCATGCTCTTAAGTATAGGCTGAAGCCTTGGCCCCTGGATCACCCCAGAGGGTTCATGCTAAATTCTTTGGGGGCAGCCCAGGGTGGAGCCCAGGGAAGGTTCCAGAGTATGAGTGCGTGTTTGTGAGGGAGACAGGGAGTGCACCCATGGGTGCAGCAGAACATTATTGTAAGGAGCCTAAATGCAGACTGCCCCTGAGGGAGGCCTGCCACCAGCAGTTTGCTTCCTCTCCAGTGCACAGGGAGAAGGTCGCTGCTGGGGGGGGGGCGCAGGAAGCTTTGGTAGGTTGAGTCTGGCATGGGGCACCCCCTTTTCTTCGCTGCCAGTCAAGCTTTATCAAGCTGGTTCAGCTGTGATAGAGCTTTGCTGTTCTCCTGGGTCCTTCCTGGCACCTGTGAGAGGAAGTGGCCTGGTTCTGGAAAAGAGAGGGTGAGACGGAGCTGAGCTTTGGCGTTGCTTTAAAATATGGGGAATGGGTGGTTTGCCTGCAATGTGAGTTCCCAGAGCACCTGTCCTTGGGACTTGGCCCTGCCTATCCCTCTGCCTGTGGAGAATGGATCACTTGCCCCAAGGCCATGAAAGTTTAGGTCTTGGTTCAGTCAGAGGAATGGGGGTATGGGCTGTGTTGGGCCCTGAGCTCCAGGGCCTTGTCTTCAGGGGAGGTGGGGAGTGGAAGGGTGGAGAAGGGGATGGGGATGTCCTAGGACGGGCCTAAGAAGGGCTCCGTAGCTGGAACTCTGCAGGCTTCCTTGCCAGTGTGGTTTGTGGCAAGCTGGAGAGCAGAGAGCTGGTTTTCTCTGGGGCTGTAACATAAGCCAGGGAGAGCAAGGCCTGGTGTGTTGGAGCAGGCCTGCATCGGCCTGGCATTGCCCCTTCCTGAAGGGCAGGGGAGATGCGGAAGAGGCCCACTGACCAGCCCAGCCTCTGCACTCTGGCTGCTGGGAAACCACTGAGTGCTCCCCCTCTCAGAGCACTTCCCCCTCTACTTCCTCCTTCCCCTTTGCAGGAGGGAGGGGCTGGGGGCAGGCCTAGTTCACACTCAAGCTGGTGACTGGCTAAAGGACCCTGAGGCTTCAGGTTTTCTGGGGCCTCTGAGCCAGTAAGACATTTAAGGGGTTAGTGCCCTCCTCCTCCCTAGGGGGGAACTTAGCCAACTTCGGTCCCCCGCCCCACCCAAGGTGGTGGCGTGTTTGGGGCGTGTCCACCAGCCAGAGCTGTCAGCTGTGTTAGTCAGCAGAGGGCTGAATCCAGGGCCGTCCAGCCAGCGCCCTGGCCTGAGGGTTGCAGACTCTCTGAGGGCCAGCTCAGCCCTGTGGCCTGGGAACCCTGGAGAGGACAGGGCAGGGTGGAGATGGAGAGGGGCCTGTGGGTCAGCTCCTGAGCAGGCTTCACCTTCCTGCTGGGCTTTCAGCAGACTGCTGGGGCGCCGGGTTCCACGAGTCCTTTGCCTTGCTGGACCCCTATTAGGAAGCCCGCTTTCCTCTCTGCCTGCTGCTTACCTGTCCAGTTTGTGCTGCTGCTGGTGGCGGGGAGGGCAGGGGGATTGGGGAGAAATGATTTCTAACATGAAAAGGAGCAGAGAGGGAACAAGTGTGTTTGTTGAATCGTCCCTGAGGAAAACAAAGGCCTTGGGACCTAGCCTGGGAGTGAAGAGTCCTGAGCCATTTCCTCATGTGAAGGAAGGTGATGTCTCTGTCCTGCCTCAGATGAGGAGGCCTTGTGAGGATCCAGGGGGGTGTGAATGTGTGCGAGAAGATACCTAGTGAGCATAGTTGGCACAGCAGGTACAGAGCATCCGGCCAGACGTCAGGAGATTTGCTGTGTGACCCTCAACAAATCACTTTGCCTCTCTGATCTGACTTTACCTCATCTGTGAAATGAAGGTACTGCCTGCCCTCTAGAAGGTGCTTGGTAAATGTCACTGAAGGCCTTCCCCAGAAGGAGTGCTCTGTCTGCGCCCCTCTGTTCTCCCATGGTGGCCTGTGAAGTCTTTTATGGACTGGGCTCTGCCCACCTCTCCACCCTCCTCAGCCCCCTGTCGCTCCCCATCCTCCCTGCTCATCACCTGCTGTGCTGGGCCTGCAGCATCCTCTGACAGCTCCTGCTCTGCCTCCCCTGACCCCTTGTCCCTCCCCCAGCCTGGACTGTTAGCCTGTTACTTGTCCTCCCGCCCCCTGCCCCAGGCTGTGAGCTCCCCAGGGCAGGGACCAGGTCTGCTTTATTTGTTCACTGCTGTTACCCCAGTGCCTGCCTGGATGTGGCTGGGTACTTGTGGTGTCTCAGACAGGGCAGGGCGTCGCTGAGCACTGACCGGGATAGGGTCAGAGGATGGGTTAGGGTTGAAGGACAGGTGAGACTGAAGCCCAGGCCTGTCAGCCCCACTGAGATGCCCCTTGTGTTCTCTGTGCGTAGAGGAGCAGGAGCGGCTTCGCTTGGAGCGGGAACGGGAGCAAGAGCAGAAGAAGGCCAGTAGCCTGGCCAGATTGGCACATGCCCTGCCTGTGGAGGAACCCCGCATTGAGGCGCCACCCCTGCCTCTGTCCCCACCGGCACCCCCACCGGCTCCCCCGCCACCAATTGCCACCCCCACACCACTGACTGTCATTCCTATTCCCGTAGTGACCAACTCCCCTCAGCCACTGCCCCCACCCCCACCGATGCCCCCTGCAGCCCAGCCTCTGCCCCTGGCACCTCGGCAGCCAGCCCTGGTCAGCACCCCTGGACTCAGCATTAAGGAGCCTGCCTCCCTGCCCACCAGGCCGCAGGTGCCCACCCCTGCTCCCCTCCTGCCAGACTCGAAGGCCACCATTCCATCCACTGGCAGCCCCAAGCCTTTGCATCCCCTCCCCACACCCATCCTGACCATAGCACCACACCCTGGAGTCCAGCCTCAGCTGGCCCCCCAGCAGCCACCCCCACCCACGCTTGGGACCCTGAAGTTGGCACCAGCTGAAGAAGTCAAATCCAGCGAGCAGAAGAAGAGGCCTGGGGGGTGAGTGAGGCATAGTTGGGGCTGGGGGGATGGAAAGAACTGTCCACCCCCTGGGCTGTGTGTGCAAGAGAAGTACCCTCCCATGCTAGCCCTTCAGAGGCACGTCCTGCTGCCCAGAAGCACCTCCTATATTTGGACACATTGTCACTGTGCCCATCTCTGTCCTGGGAATGAATGGCCATCGCCCTCTGTTCTCAGGCTTCTGTGTTCTCAGACTCCCTCCAAGGCTGAGGCTTATGGCATTTCCAGGCCTCTGGACAGAGTATTGGATTATGGGCCTCCTGGGTGAGGGTTGGGGTCAACCGGCTGTTTTCGAGGCCCAAGAGCCTTGTGTCTCCCTCGTGGATGGCTGAGTGGGATGGAGGGTTACAGGGCTTGGGGCTTATGAGCATAGATGTGCCCTCCAGGGCGTGACCGCAGCACTGCACAGAACAACCCCTCTTTTGCTGTTTTTATAGAGAGAGAATGTTGGGGACAAAAAGCCTGTGGCAATTTGTGGGGTGGCGGCGAGGGTCAGGAAGGCCTCCTAATCGGGGCCCTCCTCTCTGAGCCTCCTGTCTGTCTGGGTTTCAGGATCGGAACCAGAGAAGTCCACAACAAATTGGAGAAGAACAGGTGTGTGTGGGTGCGTGTGTGACTCGGGCCCACCCCGCCTGCTCCCAGGACTCGCCCCACCGTTGGTCCCCCGAGCGCTCCTTGGGCCTTCCCTCCCCGCTCCAGCCCCCGCCCCCGGCGTTGGCTGACCCGCCCTTGCTCCCTCTCCCCAGGAGGGCCCATCTGAAGGAATGCTTTGAGACCCTGAAGCGTAATATCCCAAACGTGGATGACAAGAAGACGTCGAATCTGAGCGTGCTGCGGACGGCGCTGCGGTACATCCAGGTATGGGGGAGGGAAGCAGCGGCCGGCGGTGGCGGCGCCAGCTTCCTCCCCACTTCGCGGCCCTCCTTCCCTAGCTGCGGCCCGGCTCCGCCCTGCCGCTCTCCCCGCTCCCCCGCCCGCCTCCACGCGGGCGCTGAGCACATGGCCCGGCTGACGTCAGCGGGGCTCCCTGCCCGGGAGGGGGCGGGCGGAAGGGCGCGCGTGCGCAGAGGAGAGCGCGGCGGCGCTCCCCTGCCCACCTCCCCCGCCAGGGTGCTCCGCGGAGCCCCAGCGGTCCGCGCAGCGCCGCAGCCTCGGCGTCCCTGGGACCTGGGAGGCGCGCGCTGTAGACTCGCTTGGTGTAAAACCCCGAGCCCGGCCCCGCTTTGAGCGTGCTAGTGCACCCGCGGGTGAGAAGGCCGTGGAGCGAGCCCAGCGCCCCAACCCGTTCGCAGTGCCTGGGCGGGAACCCGGGTTCGGCCTGTCTGTCGCTAGTTGTGGGGGCAGTCTGGGCGTGGTCTCCGTCCACACTGCAGCGCGCCTGAGGCCCCCCACTTTTACCCCAGAAAGATTAAGGCCTTCTTGGTGCGTTCATTGAGGTGTCACGACCCGAGTTTGGGGCTTGGGGGGAAATGCGGCGGTCTGGGTGACAAATACGCTGGGTGTCACCAAGCCTTAAAAAAATTATACTTTCCTCCGAACTGGGTTAAAAAAAGGGGATCCCTCTTTTAAAGGGGCTTTCCTGGCCGTGTTCCTCCTGCTTCGGGCACTGGCTTCCCTCTGCAGTACCGGTGGTGGGGGCTGCCAGAGAAGACAGTTGCCATGACGGCCCTGAGTTTCGGTTTCCCTGGAAACCGGCGGTGGGTTCCGCGGGCCGGGAAGGCTGTGGGGGATGGGGCGGGCCGCCACGCTCCGCTGCCGTGGAGACGGAGAGCGGTTGGGGAATGGGAGGGACTTAGGGATCCCTGCCCGCGTGGGGCGGGGGCAGGGTGAATCTGGTGAATCTCGGGGTCTCCTTGTTGACCCACTTGAGAAGCCTGGAGTGCTGGGCAGCGTCACAGCCCCTGGGGGAGGGGGCAGCGAGAGTCCGGCCAGGGTAGGACTCTCGGGCAGCTGCGGGACGCCACCCCTCCCCCGGCCTCGACTGCAGGGTCACAGCCCTGAGGTAACCGGAGCCTGACTTGATGGGGGGCGGAGGCGCAGCTTCGCGACTGCTCCCAGCCGGCGGCTCCCTCCGCCTTCCACCTCACGCGAACGCGCGCCCTTCCTCCCGCCCTCCGGGGCGAGGGGGAGGGGCTGGCACGCCTCCAAGCCACTTCCCGGCAGCCGGGAGGGGCGGGACCGAGCTCGCGGATTGGCTGGGCCTGGATGGGGGCGGGACTCCTGAGCGTGCGGAGGGAGGGTGCGGCCGGCGGGGAGTGACGCAGCAAAGCCGGGTCCGCGTGGGTGCGCCCGTGCTCCGGGAGGGGCGGGGCCTCGCTGGCGACCGGAATTGCCCCGGGGCGGGAGGTGGTGCCCTGGTTTTCGGGGTGGCGGAGGGGGGTCCCGGGAGGCTGTGAAAGGCAGGATGCTAATTTCTGGAGAACTTGGGCTTGGGTATAATTTGCTGGTCTTTCAGTCATTCGGCCTCTTAGCAAGTCACTGTCTACATGCTGTGACATTTCCTGTGAATAATCAATTTCTTCTCCTGTACGGTGATGCTGAATGGGAAAAAATAATAGTATCTTTGTCAGGAATGTTAGGCAGGTTGGATGGGATTACTTTTATATGTAATTCGCAGCAGTCTTAATAGTAATTATTATCGAGTAATAAGAAGGATAGAATGGCACGTTCCTCTTTATAGATGCCTAGATACGTACTTGGGGAGGGGCGCCTTGCCTAACGTATAGATTTGAAAAGAATTCAGAAATACTCAGTGGAAGCAGCAGAACGAAGCTCCTTAGGAGCTGGGCCTGGGTTAAGTAGGAAGTGGAGTGGACCCCACGCTATCCATAAGGGATACTTGTTCCAGTACTGATAATAGAAGCAGGAACACTTGTGACAGATTATAAACAAGTAAACATACAGAAGACTGCCAGGAGGGCATAATAGGGACAGGTGTGGCAGGATATGTTCTGGGAAGGTAGGGAAGTCAGTGCTGAGGAAAGGACATTTGAGCTGAGATGTGGAGGGTAAGTCAGGGTGAAGTAGGCAAAGTGGGGGGCAGAGAGCCCAGCACAGGCCGAAGTTTTTCCATTGGGGGGGGGGGAGTAGGATGTGTGTTTTGGAAGCAAAAGATAAAACTGCATGGTGGCGCACACCTGTAGTCTCAGCTACTTAGGATGTTAAGGTAGGAGGAATGCTTGAGCCCAGGAGTTTGAGCCCAGCATGGATAACATAGTGAAACCCCCCATCTGAAAAATAGAAACACAAAAGACAAACAAAAAGTTGGTTAGGGGCCGGGCGTGGGTGCCTGTAATTCTAGCACTCTGGGAGCCTCGAGGTCAGGAGTTCGAAACCAGCCTAAGCAAGAGCAAGACCCTGTCTCTACTATAAATACAAAGAAATTAATTCCAACTAATATATATAGAAAAAATTAGCCGGGCATGGTGGCGCATGCCTGTACCTCCCAACTACTTGGAAGGCTGAGGCAGGAGGATTGCTTGAGACCAGGAGTTTGAGGTTGCTGTGAGCTAGGCTGACGCCATGACACTCACTCTAGCCTGGGCAACAAAGCGAGATTCTGTCTCAAAAAGAAAAAAAAGTTGGTTAGGGTAGTTGCCATGCAGAGATGGAGGACAGCAGGTACAAGAGAAGAATCAGAACTTGGTCCTGGAGAGGCCAGTGGAACAGTGTAGACTGAGGGCTTTGGTTGTATGCTGAGAGCAGGCAGCCATGGGAAAAGGGGTAGACCCCAGCCAGACTCTAGAGTGGCCTGGAGGTGGTAAAGGATTTGAAGAAAGCCACAGTGAGTGGACAGAGACAGGAAGAGGAGTAGACAGGTACCAAACCATACATCCAGGTAGTCACAGAAAGGAAATGGGTTTAAAGTGAAGCAGTTGTGGACTAAAGTTAGAACCTGGGGAAACTACAGGGGCCCTAGGCCTGCGGAGAACTGGATTAGGTGAGAAGAGGAAGTTTTGACCCATGACACTCCCTGGCCCCAAAGTCTAGCCACCCCAAAAGTGGGTAGGGTTCAAGATATACGCTTCCAGCCCCTAGCAGTCAAGTGAGGGCTGACTCACCATGGGCCCGTTGTTGATGTGGCCTCTTTTGATGTCACATCCAGCCTTGGCCTCTGAGGGTAGAACCAAGTGAGAAGCCAATAGGAGGGGTGTGTGTGTGTGTGTGTAAGGGGGAAAGGAGGTCTTTCCTACTCTTTTTCTAACAGAAAAATGGGGTCAGGTTAGGAGCTCACAGGGGCACAGAAAAGACTTTTGGTGTAGAAGGGAATTGAGAAATGGGACACATGCTGGCCTTTCAGAACTGCTAGTAGGCTTTGTACAAAGGGAAACTGGAGCCCCTTAGACAGGGGAGCACTGCCACAGTGTGGAAGGCATGGTACCTGTTCCTATGCCAGGGGTTGACTCCTAAGAGGCGGAAGATTGCCAGTGAGCCTGGAAATGGTGCCATGAATAAGGGGACCTCCCTTTTGATGTTCTCAGTGAAGGGTGTGGTATCATCGCCAGGGGAGGAAGGCCAACCTGGAACCTTAGTGAAGGACTGAAGCCTCTCCAGGATTACTCAGTTGGAGTCAGTGAGTGCTTTTGAGCACCCCGAGAGCCATTTCTCATTGACTAGTTTAGCTCAGGTATAGGTATAGAAAAAGGGGGACGTTCAGCAGCCTGGGAAGTCTAAGGGCTGTGGGCAGGGTGGTTGGGAGGAGAGGTGGGGTACAGTGTATAAATGGAACATTATCTAGAGGCAGCACGTGTGGGCATGCTGGGGTATAGCCCAGGAGGTCGGAGAGGAGGTGTGGAGCCAGCAGGTGCTGGGGAGGAGATGGAGGCAAGTCATGGAGATGAAACAGGGAGGGGTGGGGTCACAAAGTCTGGTAGGTCATTTTCCAAGGATGTTGAAGTTACCAAGGAGACAAGTGAATGGTGAGATAGAAGCAAGCATAGGATTGTTTGGGGTTTGGGGGGAGAGGGTTCCAAGGAGGCAGCTTGTGGCATTGGTGACTGAACAGTGAGTATGAATGGTGAGGTGGCCTTGGGTCTGATCAGGGGAGTGAAGAAGGTGCAGAGAGGGGTGCAAGAGGCAGCAAGGCTGCTCAGGAGAGAGTTGATGTGCGGGGTGGGGAAGGGCCCCATGTGTGGGTGGTGCTGAGCTGGATCCGTGCTTGACCTCAACAGTGCCTGCCTGAGAGCCCACATTCCTGGGATGCTGGGCCCCATTGGGCAGAGGCATGGACCAGGGTGCGGGCATGGTCTCCCACAGCCTTGTCAGGCTGGGCCTCTGGTCGCTGCAGACTTGTCCCTGTGGGTTGGCGGATGTGGAGAGATGCTTTGGGGTACCGTGGGCACTGAGGCTGTTGCTAAGGGTGTCTTTCCCTTACTCTGTCCCCCAGTCCCTGAAGAGGAAGGAGAAGGAATACGAGCATGAGATGGAGCGGCTGGCTCGGGAGAAGATTGCCACACAGCAGCGGCTGGCAGAGCTCAAGCACGAGCTGAGCCAGTGGATGGACGTGCTGGAGATCGACCGCGTGCTCCGGCAGACGGGCCAGCCTGAGGACGACCAGGCCTCCACCTCGACCGCCTCTGGTGAGCCCTGGCCCCTGTGCTGTCTGTACCACCCTCAAATGTTGCACCCTGCCCCCCAAATTCCAGCCTCCCTGGCCAGGCTTTTGCCCACTGGAAAAGATGCCACTTGCCCCAGCCCTGTCATATCCCCAGGCCCCCGCAGGCATCTGCACGCCCAACCACTTGTTTCCCAAGCTCTTCTGACCTGCTCCCTGCCCCCTGTTCCCCCACAGAGGGTGAGGACAACATAGACGAGGATATGGAGGAGGACCGGGTGGGCCTAGGCCCACCTAAGCTGAGCCATCGTCCCCAGCCGGAGCTGCTGAAGTCCACCTTGCCACCCCCCAGCACTGCCCCCGCGCCTCTGCCTCCACACGCCCACCCCCACGCAGTGACCCTGTCTCCTGCCCACCTCCCTGTGCAGCAGCAGCCGCCACAGCAGAAGACCTCTCTGCCAGCTCCTCCTCCCCCACCGGCTGCCCCCGCCCAGACGCTGGTGCCAGCTCCAGCCCATTTGGTGGCCACGGCTGGGGGCGGCTCCACAGTCATTGCCCACACGGCCACCACCCACGCCTCAGTCATCCAGACTGTGAACCACGTTCTACAGGGGCCGGGTGGCAAGCACATCGCCCACATAGCCCCCTCGGCCCCCAGCCCTGCTGTGCAGCTGGCACCTGCCACACCCCCCATTGGCCACATCACAGTGCACCCTGCCACCCTCAACCATGTGGCCCACCTGGGCTCCCAGCTGCCCTTGTACCCACAGCCCGTGGCAGTGAGCCAGCCTGTGGCGGTGAGCCACATCGCCCACACCCTCTCGCACCAGCAAGTGAATGGCACAGCTGGGCTGGGGCCCCCAGCCACCGTCATGGCAAAGCCAGCTGTGGGGGCTCAGGTGGTCCACCACCCCCAGCTGGTGGGCCAGACAGTGCTCAACCCTGTGACCATGGTCACCATGCCCTCCTTCCCAGTCAGCACACTCAAGCTGGCTTGAGGATGAGGCCACTCAGAGGCCCCCAGTGGGGGCAGGGAGGGGGACCTGTCCCCCACTGTCCCACCCACCAGCTCCACACATTCCAGCCAGGCCCAGGCCCGTCCCCCCCACACCCACCCCCAGGCCTCCTAGGGGAAGGGGGTGCAGAGACTCTGAGCCAGGGGAGGGAGGGGCCGCCCCAGGGAGTTGGGCACAGGGCAGGGGCTTACCCTGCTGCACTAGGACTTGATAAAATGACTGATGAGAGATACTCTGAACGTGCCGCCTGTCCGGCCTGGTGCCAGCTCCAGTGCCGTTCCTGCTTCCCCACCCTGTCCCCTGAAATCAGTGCGATGTGGATGTCATGTTCTCTGACTTCTTCACTCCCCTGCCCGCCTTCCTGTGCTGCTGCTGCTGCTGCTGCTGCTATTACTGTCTGGTGAGGTGGCCGAGTGCCCTGGGTCTCCCCACTAGAGCTTCAGTGTTCTCCTCCCAGGCCTTCAGAGGGGAAACGGGAAAAGCAGAACTGGAGCCACTTGGCCCAGAAAGCTGGGGATGGGGTGGCAAGGGGCCTTGCTCTGAGCACAGGTGACAAATCCTAGGAAGTGGCTGGTCTGGAGTCCTATCCAGACAGGTTAGTGCCCCAGCCTGGGGCTTCCTGGCCCAGTTGCAGTCACTGTGATTCGTTACAGTAGAAACTATATTTAATGATTCTCTACCAACAATAAACCAAACCCAAGCTGTTGCCAAGCTTCCTGAACACCCCCCTCCAATCCCTGCCACTGGGCTCTTGACCTCAGGAAGGCAGGTTGGGGGTGGGGAAGGAGGGGCTTGGCTGTCCTGCCTTCTGCCCCTGTCCCCTGCAGCTTGTGTCTAAACTGGGAGGAGAGCTGTCTGGACTTCTATCCCTGTCCTTGGTTCTTCATTTCAAGAAGGCAGCAAGGAGGGACGCTTTCCACTCCCCTGCTTCCCTGACCTCTGCTTGGTGCTGTGCCCTGCCCCAAGGGATAGGTGGGCCTGGGTTTGGGTGTCCCTTGCAGCTTGGGAGACGTGGGCCACCATCTGGTCTTGGGTCCAGGAGCCTAGAAGCCACATTGCTGAGGCATCAGGGCGTTAAAATCCAGAGGCTTAGCCAAAGCCCTAAACCCTTCCCCAAACAAGCCCTGGAGGACCTACACAGAGCGGGGCCAGAGCTGGATCAGCACTGCGGAGGAGGCTGCTGCTTCTGCTTCTGCTTCTCTGCCTGTCATCTCTGTTCCTGAACATCCCCCATTCTCCAGTGGGCAATTCTTGAGTGTGCCCTCCCTGAGGGACTGCTGTGCACTGCTACCTTTCTCTGAGAAAAGGTCCTTAATTGGACCAAGGACAGGGCTGAACTTGGGCTGGGGAGGAGTAAAGAAAGGGGTGCTGTGTTAGGGGTGCTATTTCCCTGCCTCTGCCTTGGCAGACTGCTTTGGCCTCTCTTCGTATGTGCGTATTTATTACAAGTGGCCTTGCGTCAGACACACTCAGTTACATGCACCGTGCACACTTGGCCCCCCACCTGGACGCACACCAGTGGCCTTTCCATGTGGGAGGAGTGTCCATAGGTGTGAAGTTCACGTTGACAACTGGGGCAGGTAGTGGGGCCAGAGGGGAGAATTCAGCATTCTCTGGAGTGCCCTGCCAGGCACGGAGGAGGCTGGCACAAGTCTCGAATAGATTCTCCCTTGAAATAAAGACTCCGTAGCTGCCTAACAACTCCCTTTCTGTTCCTTCCTGGTCCTGGAGACTTCCAGGGGACTTTCTTATTTGTCTCTCCTGGGGTTGGGGAAAGGGACAGCTAGGGACCAGGTCTCCACCCTCAGAGGCCTGGAGGAGGGAGCCCTGCACTCATGCCAGCACAGCACCCCCGCCTCACATGCTTGCTGCCTTCCTGCGGCCACAGCCACCTCCGCCCCGCAGCCTGGCTCTTGGGGGAGCCAGTTTCACTATTGCCATTGTGACAACAATGGAAAGAACAGAGGGAGAGTCCAGGGCAGGCCTGACACACCAGGACAGTCAGAGCAGCTTTGGCGACCTCGCCCCTCCCTCAGCCTGTCCACCTCTCCCTGCATCCTGAGGCCAGTCGCCCCCGGGCCTGCACAGATACCTCATCATCTACCCACCGCCCCCCAGCAGCGGGGGCCTCCAAATCTAGTGCCGAATGACTATGTCCAGATTGGTGACAATGGGTGTTGCTATTGTTTTTGTTGTTGTTTGTGAATGCTGTGACGCTGTGTGCCCAAGTGGGCAGCCACCACCCAGCCCTTCCTTGGGCATCCTCCTCCCCCCACCCCCAGAGCTGTCAGGACTACATCTATCCTCACCCTGTGGGACCGCCTGCCCCTGCCCTTCCAGCCTGGGACACACACAAACACACACACACACACACACACAATACTCTCTTCTTACCTCTCATGCGTGTTTTACTTTTTGATGTTCAGAGTGGCTCACTGGCTGGGAGTCTTTACCTCGGGGAGAGGGGGAGGTTGGTTCCTTGGGGGAGCCAAAGAAGGGCAGGGAATGCCTGGAGGGTAACTAGGGGGTAATCGTAACCCCTGCTGTCCCTGCTCTCTCCAAGAACAGCTTCTCCCCCCATCCCAGGGTCCCACCCCCATCCCCTAAAGAGGTGGCCCTTGTTTACAGTGAGGACTCGGTCACTGTGTCTCCGTTTCCTGAAATATAAACTGTAGCGACCCCAGACTGTAGAGATTTTTATGTGTTTGGATACATCTGCTGTGTGGGGGGAAAAAACTACAAAAACCCTAATTTTGTACATATTGTATTTTTACTATTGAACTGTATTCTAGTGGCTGTTCATGTTCCAAGACTTTAGGTATTGAGACATGAATACTATCTATGTAATAAGCACTTGCCTGGAATAAAATATAAAACTGAAATAAACCTGCACTGAAACCTGAGATGGAGCTGCCAGCCTGCAGCATCTGGGTCATTTTATTGCACATGGAGGCAGTGGCCTGCAGGGGAGACGTCCAGCGAGCAGCGGGAAGGAATCACCTGTCCTTACCTATTGCTGGGGGCATCACCCTCAAGCAACGTCCATCCATGCTGGTCAACTTTAGAAAAAGATCTGGGACCTTCCAGTTCTGATCCTGATGCCTCAGTGAGCTATGAAAACTGCAGTTCTGGTCTTCCTTAAACTTTTGCAAAGCTTTATGTTTCCTCAAACCATTTTTACAAACATTATCTTGTTTCATCTTTTAACAGCCCAGTGAAGTAAATAAGCCAAGAACTAGCCCTGTTTTGGCAGATAAACAGGTTTGGGGTGGCCAGGTGACTTGTTATGGTCACATAGCTAGCCTGGGACCTTGTAGCTACAGACCTCTCAACTCAGTACAGAGTTCCTCCCCGAGCATTTGCTACCCTTTGTCCCTAGGCCAGTCCTAGAGTCAGGGATCCATTAAAAAATAGTAGAGGGGCGCTAAGCATGATGGTGTGTGCCCGTAGTCCCAGCTACTGGGGAGAGTTGCTTGAGCCCAGGAGTTCAAGACCAGCTCGAGCAACACAGCAAGACCCTGTTTCAAAACAGACCTAAAAACAAAACAAAAAAACCCCACACATACAAAAAAGGTAGAGAGGAATTGCCCAGGATCTGGGCACAGGGCATGACAGCCTTCCTAAGAAGCTGCTTCTGAGATTGTAGTTATGACAAAGGAATTAGGAGAAGAGGTTGGAGATTGGGGGCCAAAGAACACTGAAAGCCACAGTCTCAATGTTCTCAGCTCAGCCTACAAACATGGGCCTGGAAGACCCTTGTTCCCATAGTTGCATCTTCTCTCCCCACAGCCCTTTGGCAGCTGTCTTGGGACTAAGTTGGGGCAGTGAGGGCCAAGGCAGTTAGCTGGGCCAAGCTGGCCCAGGCTGCCTGGTCTTAGCATGTCTACTCCCTGGTGGCACGTGACTCAATCTCAGCAGGGGAACTGACTCTGCTCCCTCCTGGGGTGGATGGGAAAACGAGTTACCCTTGAGGAAGGGAGTTGTGGCCACATGTCTTTGGGATCCTGTTTTCTGAAAGAGAAGGACTCAAGAAAGTTCAGACCAGGTCCTCCCCATTGCCCCACAATTGTGCCAGTCCTTTCACTTGTGGGGAGCAGGCTCCCTCTGCTGGTAGCTCAGGGAAGAGCTGGGTCATTTCCATTGGCCCCTGGCGCCACTTTAGGGGAAGGGGTTAGGTTAGGTTTAACCCTTCCTGGGTGCCCACTGTGCCAGACCTACACCTAGCACTGGGGATACAGATGAAGACCCTGCCTTGGTAGCAGTGACTCAGCATCATCTGAGGACTGTCACTAAATCTTAAGCATAGGCGGAAGCTGTACTCAAAGGACAGTCCCTCCATCTCAGCTAGAGCCTGTAAGAAAAGGACCTGTGGTCAGGGTAATGGAAAATAAAATCCCAAGTATGATTCCAGTTGCTTCCATACCAGCTCCTGCTTTCCAGGGGTGAGGGTTCCCAGAGATGGGGTTTCTCACTCTCCTTACCTTCAAGAGTGCCCCTGCCTCAGCAGACCCATCATTTTGGCTGTGGGATTCCCTCTGGTCCTAGAATCCCAGCCTTATGGTCTGGGGGAGTGGGTAGGGATGGGAGTGTATGAAGAAATGGAGTCACTCCCAGGCTAGTTTATCCCTGGGCCTTTGGTGAATTTCTTTTACGTGGTCACAGGAGAGGGAAAAACTTTTTTTTTTTTTTGATACGGGGTCTGACTCTGTTGCCCAGGCTGGAGTGGAGTGGCACAATCATAGCTCACTGCAACCTCCAACTCCTGGCCTCAAGCAATCCTCCTGCCTTAGCCTCCAAGAGTGTTGGGATCACAGGCTTGAGCCACACCTGGCAGGAGAGGGAATTCTGATTCCTCCAGGCAACACAATCAGCTGTGGGGGGTGGGGGTGGGCAGGGAGTGGTTCCCAGAGGGGCTTATCAAGTTCCCTGGCCCCAGAGCTCCCTGTGTCAATGGGTTTCTCTGCCTGGGCAGCTCTGGCTACTAGTCTGCATTCTGTCCCAAAAGCTGGGTTCAACCTGCTAGGGCCATAGGATGGGATATTTTAACTCTGAGTGAGTTGACTACAGGCCCTAATGGTCAGAAAGCCAGTATCCTCTAGAACCAGAAAATATGTTGGATGACTAGAGTCTTCTACCTGGAGCCATCGATGATTGGGCCAGTGGCACTCTGCGGTTGGGGAAGGGCAGGAAAAGAGGTAGAGACCTGTTGTTATTATAGTCAGGGCCTTTTCTAAGCCTCAGCAGGCTCCAGGGGTCCTCAAACTTTTTAAACAGGGGGCCAGTTCACTGTCCCTCAGACCGATGGAGGGCCGTTGGAGAGTGTGGCACACATTCCACACATGTGCACTGTGGGCCGGGCCGAGTCGGCTGCTAAGCAGGACAGGCGGCCGCAGCAAAAACACCCGGCGGGCCGGATAAATGTCCTCAGTGGCGGGCTGCATGTGGCCCATGGGCCATAGTTTGAGAATGCCTGGAACCCCTCCTGACGCTTCCCCCTAGGCCCTAGCCTGACCCAGGAATGTCAGACAGTACTTAGTGGCTGGGAGCCATAGCAGAGGGTCAGGGCCCTTCCCCACTGGCTGGAGGGGCCAGGAGGCTCCAAAGCGGTCCTACTCATGACCAGCTCCTGACTCGCTGCTGCCTGGTCAGGAGGCAGACAGGCAGAAGGGGTGGGACGGGCCTGCTCTCATGCTGGAGGAGCCACTGGTCAATCTTGAGATGGGACAGTGACTTGGGTGTGGTCCCCCCAGGGTGCTGAGTCCCTGACCAGCCCACAGCCCTCTTTAGGAAACCATATCTCTCCTTTTGCCACCCTTGCCTTCTGGGCCCAGCCCTCCTCACTGCTTGATTGTAGTGCTTATGGAATTCCCCAGTGCAGTCTCTCAATGTCCAGCCAGTCCCACAAGCAGCCCCCAGAGCCTCAAGTGTTGCCAAATGCTGTTTATTGGTCTGTTACACTGAAGAGTATAGTTTCTGAGCTGAAAAACATACACACTCTGCTCCTCACAAAACCACTGAGTCACTAAGGCAGGCACACAATAGCCACCCGTGCTTGGTGGAGGCCAAGGACTCATGACAACAGGGGTGGGCAGTGGGGTGGGCTGGCCCCCAAACAGGCCGTGCAGTGCCCAGGGGCAGGGGTGGGCTGGGAAGGCTATGCTGGATGCAAAAGGGCTACTGGGCCCTTTCTCGTGTTTCTCAAATGCAGGAAGTCAACCAGGCCTCGGTGACTGCTAAACAAGCCTCAGCCAAGGCATGGCCTCCAGGTCCCAGGGCAAGGCCTTGCCTGCATGTGCTGGGGTTGGGGGCAATGGGGGATGACAGAGCAAGCAGCATGCCTGGGCCTCAGGAGCTGTGCCCTTCCTGGCACCCCTGTGAGTGCAGCTCTTCCAAGGGGTTCCTAGGCCTCTCGGCATCCCTGGCAGCCTGCGGAAGGCAGAGCTAGCCTTGCTTCCCACCAGGGACAGACACAGGAGACCCAGGCACGCCCTGCCTCCTGCAGCCCCAGGGACTCAGCAGATACCTGGGACAGGTGATGGGCTGCCTTGAAGCTCTGAGGCCTGTCCCTGAGAGGAGGCTGTGACGGAAGTGCTTCCCTACAGAATTGCCCTGGCTGGGATTCTTCGAGAATCCCACTGCATTCCAGACCATCCAACTGGCAAGAGTGTCCTTACACAGAGCTTCCAGGGAAGTATCTAATGCATGAAGCGAGGGCAGGGTGGCAAGAGTGAGACTGTACAGATACATGTGGATGCACTGTACAGGGTGGGGAGTGGCAGTGGCAGTGCTGCTGAGGTGGGCTGCTCCCACCCAGGGCCCACATCTTCTGACTGTCCCAGAATCTCGGGGGAAGGCCTAGAAGGCGCCCAGGTCTCCTGCACACTTGCCTGAACTGGCAGCTGTTCTGGCTGCCCTGACTGGGGCTGGACGCACACAATGCACTGGGACTGCAAAGGGACCCTCAGAAGAGCTAGAGCACAGCCCTTTCCCCACGCAACCCTTGCTAGGTAGGGCCCGGGCCACTATAGCCCTCTAACTTTACAGGGCCCCAGGTTGACTCACGGGGAACAGTCCAGGCCGAGGTTGCAGGTGGCAGTGGGGCTACTCCCAGATATTTGAGAGGGGAGCAGAGTAGGCGTTCCCCAGGGCAGCTACTCCCTGAGGCCGACCCCTCCCATCCCTGCCCTGGTTTGAGGGCACCCTGGCCCATGACTTGCCCTACAGGGCCAGCATTGCCCGGAGTCAGATCACAATCGCTTTGTTAGGAACACAGTTGGGCAGCAGGGTCAGCTGCGGGTTGGGGCAGTCTGGGCTGTGGTGCCCCTGCCCCTCTCCCTGCTGGAGCCCAGGGGCCTGGTGCCCAGGCTCCATGCAACTGCTGCCTCCTGGCTGCAGCTCTCACTTGTTCTCTATGAGCATCTGCACCTTGTGGACGAGGTCCCGGGCAATCCGCAGGATCTCCTGGGCATCGTGACGCTCAGCCCTTTCTGGGGGAAACATGGATAATTGTGGGGAGGCCCAGAGAGAGGGTAGCAGGCTGAGAGGAGCACTGTGGCTGGCTACCCTTTCTATATGCTGCCTTTATCTGGCTGCCTTTCTATCTGCTGGATTCTTTTTTTTTTTTTTTAAGAGACATGGTCTCACTGTGTCACCCAGTCTGGTCTTGAACTCCTGGCCTCAAGAGATCCTCCCACCTTGGCCTCCCAAAGTGCTGGGATTACAGGTGTGAGCCACTGTGCCTGGTCCTGCTGGATTCTTGACATCCTCCCTATGAGGAAGGGACCCCAGAATTCCAGAGAATCTTCTAACTCTGCCCAGGCCAGAGGTGGAGGCCCCAAACCCCTACTGGGGACAGCCAGGATGACCAGAACAGCTCATACCATTGAAAAACTTGATGATGTCAGTGAAGTCCATGTTGTTGTCGCGGATAATCTCTCGATAGGCCTCCACCAGGGCAAGGGCGATGAACAAGACAAAGTGCTCTGATGAGATGTGCTTGGCCGCCCAGATCACCTCCCACACAGCAAACACATCCTCGTACAGCAGCTCTGGGGACAGTAAGGAGATGGTGCTTACCAGTCCCAGCCACGTGGCTGGGGCTAAGGCTGAGCCTGGCTGGCCACAGGCCTTCAGGTGGAGCCAGGTGGGGAGTCAGAGCACCAGGGCCCAAGGTCATGGGATTCACCCCATTACACGACCTGGTTCAAGAATAGGGGTTCTATACCCAAGACCCCACTCTTCTCTTAAGTAATTTCTGTACACTGGGTTCCTGCAGACTCCATATCTGTACTTCATTTCACCTTCACCCGAGCAACTCACTTTTTTTTTTTAAAGAGGGTCTCACTCCATCACCCAGGCTGGAGTGCAGTGGCACAATCGTAGCTCACTGCAGCCTTGAACTCCTGGGCTCAAGCAATCCTTACACCTCAGCCTTCCAAGTAGCTGGGACTACAGGCATGCACCATCATGCCTGGCTAATTTTTTTCATTGTTTTAGAGATGGGGTCTTGCTATGTTTCCCAGGCTGGTCTCAAACTCCTGGGCTCAAGTGATCATCCTACCTCAGCCTCCCAAGTAGCTGGGATTACAGGTGCAAGCCACTGCACCAGGCTCAACTCTACTTTTATAGGCCTTGCATCTTGGTGCTCAGGGAAGCTTTGGCTTGAAAAAGGTTCTGAAAACCATTACCTATTAGAGTGGTGACTGCCAACCCTTGCCTGCACTTTGGAATCAGCTAGGGAGCTTTTTTTTTTTTTTTTTTTTTTGAGACAGAGTCTCACTTTGTTGTCCAGGCTAGAGTGAGTGCCGTGGCGTCAGCCTAGCTCACAGCAACCTCAAACTCCTGGGCTCAAGCAATCCTCCTGCCTCAGCCTTCCAAGTAGCTGGGACTACAGGCACACGCCACCACGCCCGGCTAATTTTTTCTATGTATATATTAGTTGGCCAATTAATTTCTTTCTATTTACAGTAGAGACCGGGTCTTGCTCTTGCTCAGGCTGGATTCGAACTCCTGACCTCGAGCAATCCGCCCGCCTCGACCTCCCAGAGTGCTAGGATTACAGGAGTGAGCCACCAAGCCTGGCCTGCTAGGGAACTTTTAAGAACATGTACACCCAGGCAGCCATAGTTAGTAAGTCTGAGGTAGGTGGGGCTCAGGGCACTGGTAGTTTTTAAAAGCTCTCCAGGAAGTTCCAAAGTACAGTTAGAATTGAGAACCACTGGCTTTGGGGAAGAGGGATCTCCCGCTGTCCCTGCCCCTAGCCCCAAGATCCAACCCACTTCTTACCTCTCTTAAAATCCAGCAGGAACCAGCGGTAACAGAAGTAGAAGTGGGTGTAGTCTCCATTCTGATGCATCAGTTCAAACAGCTCTGAGTCCAGGATCTCATGTGGGTGGGGAAAGGGAGAGAGACTGAACCCTGAACTGCTGCCGCCTCTCGGACCACTCCTCATCCTCCATGCCCACGGAAGCATGGGCTCCCCAGACCTAGCGGTCGGCCTCTCTGCTGTGCTACACCTGGTCTCTCCCCATCAGGACGGGTCTCTCCCCATCTCTCTGGGCTATATTCTTTTTAGAGTTATATCATTTTCTGAATATTTGATTTCATCATTAATCCCTGCTATTCTCCAGAATTTTCATGGGAACAATCATTCACACACACATACTCCTCAAAAACAATGTTTTTTTTTGAGACAGAGTCTCACTTTATTGCCCAGGCTACAGTGAGTGCCGTGGCATCAGCCTAGCTCACAGCAACCTCAATCTCCTGGGCTCAAGCAATCCTGCTGCCTCAGCCTCCCGAGCAGCTGGGACTACAGGCATGAGCCACCATGCCCAGCTAATTTTTTCTATATATTAGTTGGCCAATTAATTTCTTTCTATTTATGGTAGAGACAGGGTCTCACTCTTGCTCAGGCTGGTCTCGAACTCCTGACCTCGAGCAATCCACCCGCCTCGGCCTCCCAGAGTGCTAGGATTATAGGCGTGAGCCACCGCGCCCGGCCTAAAAACAATGTTTTTTAAAAGGAAAGAAACTAAGCTTGTATGTAAAAGACATTTTTGGAGTGCTCCCTGGCCTCCCTATGGACAAGGACAAACCCAGCACTGCCTGGTCATGTAACCATGGGCGGCTTACCTGGATGAGGGAGCGCATATTGGCAAAGTGGGTGTCCATGGCACCCCCATTGGGGAAGTTCTGGCTCATCCTCTTCATGAGGTGGCTGAAGCAGCTGTAGGCCAGCTGATCTGAGGGGGAGACAGGAGTGAAGCCAGCAGGGCAGGAGACCCCAGAAGGCTGGGATGGCTCACATCCTTCCCTTCCAGACCTACCATCTTCTGTTCCTTTCTCCAGCTAATGTCAGCCCAATCCCAACACCATTTTAGGAACCTCCCTCATTCCCTCACCATCGTCGAGGATGACCAGGAGAGGTGCCAGCAGATCGCACATGCCCTGCACGTAGCCCACGTCCAAGTGCTCCCACACGTAGCTGAAATGCCAGGGACAGAGTCACTGTGGCTATGCTCCATCCTTCCCTCCCCTCAGGGATCCCTGAGGAGATGGGCATAGAGCAGCCTGCCACCCAATGCCAGCCTTTCCATGACCCTGAAGCACTTACTATGCATCCCACACTGGGAGACAGTAGGGAACACCCCATCTGTTCCCCAAGGCACTTGAAAGAAATGTGAGGCCAGCACAGCTTGGGATGTGGGACAGGGGAGGGAAGTCAGGTAAGGCTTCCTGAAGAAGCATGGCTGAAGCTGAGATCCCAAAGACCTCTAAGAATGAAGAGGGGTGGAGTGAGGGGCGTTGCAAGGAAAAAGTTCCAGACAGAGGGAGCCAAGTGTGATTCAGGTACAGGAGAGAGGAGCAAGATGCCTTCCAGACCTAACCTTTCACAAAGCAGCCAGTGGCAGTCAGGGTGTGGGACAGGGTCCCCACCTCCCACCCTGAGCCTTGCCCCACAATGGCACCTGCACATGATGTCTCTGAGCCTCTCGAGGTTGGAGGGTGTGAAGTACCAGTAGTTGCGGTCACATCTCTGCACATCCTTGTCTATGCGGTGCAGATTTAAGGCCACAGTGTCCAGTAATTCTATCTGGAAATGTGGAAGGCTGTCAGGGCTAAACCTGGCCAGCCCCTTCCAGGCTGGGGGCAGGAGGTGGTGCCCAACAAAGAAATGCTGCAACTCAGGGAACCTGAGGAACTCAGAGAACAGAGTCCTCTGGGGATACTGAGAGATGGGCTTAGTGCTCCCTCCCTGGACAGTCAGAGCACCCCCACCTGCTACCCTACCAGCCCGTCCCCAAGCTTTGGGATGTCAGGAAGGCCTCTGGGGCCAGCTAGGAACGATGCCTGAGGAACGTCCACATACAGTGTAGGCAGCAGCACACACAGCTGCAAGCTCCTCTCCTGCCTCCAGCTCTCTGGCCTGAGAAGCCTTCTCCTGGCTGGGATCTTGAGGCTCGGAGAAGGTGTGGGCTGCAGGGACTGACTCATGGGACCCTTCCTCCCCACCGCCGTCCTCCTCTTCGAAGCCCACATTCTGTCCCTCATCTAGGCTCGACTGGATGCCCGAGGCCACCGAGTAATTGCGCGAGGACGGCAGTCCTGAGTCTGGAGAGTCGAACTCCACTGACTGCTGCTGCTCCACCATGGCGGTGCCCTGAGTCCCAGCTCTTGGTTCCTGCTCAGGCTTTGGTCTGGAATCTTCAGGGCCCTGGGGCCCAGGGAGCTCCAGATCATCCACAGAGATAAATACCTGGTAGGAGTGAAGAGACGGTAACTCCCACCTGTACTCCAGGACCTTCCCGCAGCCCCTGCCTCCTCCCTGGGCTGGAATGGAGAATTCTCTTCACTCCCCTACTCCCACCATGGCCTTCAACACTGCCACCACTGGGTACTGAGCCAACTTCTGACCCAGCTAACTGGGCAGAGAAATAAGGTTCTGGGCAAACACGAAGATGCCACCTTTAGCCTTATCCAGCCTCTGCTTGTATGAAGCACTCTAGGGCTTCCAGTAGTTGCTGCAGAGAAGGGAAAACACAGGCCTGGAGTCCCAGTGGCTAGTTTGAACTAAGTCTCATTCTACAAATGCCTGAAGTCACGAGACCAGGAGAGTGTCCTCAGTGTTTTGGTGTAGCTGCTGGGGCATCCTGGTTGGGAAGCAGGCTACAGGTTTTAGGAAAAACAAGTTTTCCCTTATTTTCAGTACTGAATGTTCTGCAGGACAAGATAGAAAGTTCTGCAGCAAGTACCTAGTCAGTTAAGTTAGCCCTCAGGCAAGGTGAGGAGAGGTAAGAAGTAAAAGGAAACATATTCTAACTGGGAACAGTAGACCGATCACAGGTAAAATAAAAGACATACACAGACTGTTTTTGTTCATTCTTTTTCTATTTGGACTTCATAGGCAAAGGGATGCTAAAGGCAGTTTTCACTGTAGGCAAGAAGCATGAAGTATTGGGTAAGGCCACAGTTCTCAGGCAATCAAGAGCCTCAGCGCACTGCCAACAAGGCAGGCTGCTGCCGCCTGTGAGCTGAGCAGCTGGGCACTGGTACAGAGTCAGGCTTCCCAAAACCCAAAGCCAGAGAGAAGGAGAGTATGTTCATGAATAGGGGATTAAGAACAAAGCACATGGGAAAGTAGAGGTTAGGTTTTCGGTTATTAAGAATTTAGTAAAGTAACAAAAATACATGTTATCTAAAGAAACAATGTTAAAGAAAAAGCATAAATTAATAAAAGTGCCCTTAAAAATGAAACTTATCAGTGTTGGCTGGGCCAAGTAGCCATAGTTTAAAACTTGCTGTTCTCAAGGCAGGGGTGATGGCAGGAAGAACTACTCTCCCATGCTCTTTGCATAGTTAACTCTGCAAGGCCACACCCAACATCATGGAGGAGGGAGGATCTCGCCAGTGGACACCAATAGGACCACTCTAACGGCTCCCTTGTTCTCTGGCCAGCAGCTCTCTGAGAAGCCTCTAACAATCAGCGGATATGAATGGAGAGGGGAAACCAAGACCCAGACATGCAAAGTTCTTGCCCAGAGACACTCATCTTGTCGGTAGTGGGTCTGGGACTGGGACCAAGGGCTGCCTGTTACTAGCCTTGAGGTCGCTCTACAAGGAAAGAGGGTTTCTCTAAATCCCAATAAACCCATCTTTCCCTACCAGTCCATTAAAACAGGAGACAATGCACTATCTCATTTTATTCCTACAATACTCAGAAATAGGCAGCAGAGGGACAGTTATCCACTTTTCAGTTGAAGAAAATGACCCATTAAGCCTTTCTCCCAGGGCTCCACTGCCAGTGAGTACTAGAGGCTGGGCTGGTGTTCGGGACATTACTGTGCATAAAATGCTCGTGGTTCCCTGCAGGCCCCCCCACCCCTCAAGGCCCCATCTGGCTCACATCGTTGCTGATGGTGGAATCTCGGTGGATGAGGCGCTGCACATGGCTGTCGATGCTGCTGCCCGAGGAGAACTTGGTGAGCGTGGCTGGGTGAGCCTCCCGCTCGCGCTGCCTCACCACCACCTCGCAGGCCTTCCAGTCCGCCAACACCTGCTGGTACCTTGCTGCCACCACTGCGTCCACCTGTCCTCAGACCACACCGTGACCATGGGGGAGGGCTGCACCAGGCACTGGACCTATGGCCCTGAGTCTCAGAGGCTAGGATGGCTGGAGACTAGAGTAGGGCCTCAGGGTGGGGACAGTGGAGCCACCCTGCTAACATCCTTCTCTGCCATGTTTCTTTCCAGCTGGGATGGAGCTGAGGCTTACGAGGTCCCCTCCCTGGGGTCCCTGGCCCAGCTCCCATTCCCCAGCCCCACAAGAACAGGCTCCCCCTTACCTGCTCCATCTCTTTCTTGCTCATGCCAAACTTGTAGTGGCCAAGGAGAAAGGGCCAGACGTCCTTGCGGATCTCGTGCTCCACACCTCCATAGTAAACTTGCCGCAGCAGCTCCAGCTCCTTGTAGTTCTGAGGGACCCAGGAGTAAAGACTGTACAGCCCCAAGGTCAGTGTGGCCCAGCTGGGTAAACCCCATCCCATGGAGAACTGGGGCCACGGAGGGGGCTTTAGTCACTCTGCTGAAGCCCAGGCAAATGTTGGTTTGGGACAGCCACATCCTCCTGTTCCACCCTCCTTCCTTACAGGGCCAGAAATGGAGCCCAGAGGGTTGCAAAGATTTGCCTAAGGTCACAGAGCAACGTGGAGGCGGGCGCATTCCCTGCCCAGCCCTCTTCCCATGTAAACCCACAGACTCAGCTGTATGGGATTCTACCATGAACCAGGTCATCCACAGCCATCAGTCCTGGCCTGTCAACCCAATCCACACCACACTTTACCCGGAATGCCCCTTCAGTCTACAAGCAAGTAGCTTTGCACCCACTGCTGCCCACCCTGGCCCTCAACCCAGCCTCTGGCCCTGGAACCCCAGAGTTCATACCTTTTTATCTTTCTGATACTTGCTCCACACATCCTTGGTGAGGCCGCCTGAGGCCCCGGGGGGCCGGTCGGGTGGGATGATGTTGTGATGCACCAGCGCTGACAGGTGGGTCCGCACCGTGGACAGGTGGCGGCAGTATGCCAGCCCTGCAGTGGGCAGCCCGGGGCTGTGACTGAGGCGCCTCCCCGCCCCTCACCCTCACAGCCCCCTTACCCTACACTCACAGCCATAGAAGGCCCGGGACACAATCTGCCTCTTCATGCTCTCACACAGCAGCCTGAGGGGCAACCTGTGGAAACAGCCTGGCTTAGGGTGGGAGGAACAGAGGGAAGGACCTTTGGGCTTGGGGACAGGTCAGGCACTTGGGATGATGCAGGGAATAGGATCCACAGCCTAGCAGCATGTCACTGGGCTCCCTGTCCCTCCCAGCCACCCTGGATAGAGCTGCTGGGGGCCCTTCCTGGCCCCTAACCACACAGGGACCTTAATGAATCTTGGTTTCTTCATGTGAAAATGGAGAGAATGTGACCCTCCTGAGGGTCACAGGAGAAATATGTACAAGAGAACACCTTGCACAGAGGCCACTCACACAATGCTCCTGGCACATGGCAGATGCCCAGGTATGTGGTGAGTGTCCTCAGATGTACAGCTTGACAGCAGAATCTACGTCACATGAGGAAGGGGAGCTCACAACTATTGAGCACCTATTATGTGCCAGGCACAACTCTGGAGGTTCACATGGTCCTGTCTCATTAAGTCCTCACAAGTGCCTTAGTAAGTGGGTGGAATTGTCCTCATTTTACAGATGAAGAAACTGAGGTTCAGAAACAGGCTTGCAGGCCGGGCGCGGTGGCTCACGCCTGTAATCCTAGCACTCTAGGAGGCCGAGGCGGGCGGATTGCTTGAGGTCAGGAGTTCGAAACCAGCCTGAGCAAGAGCGAGACCCCGTCTCTACTATAAATAGAAATAAATTAATTGGCCAATTAATATATATAGAAAATTAGCCGGGCATGGTGGTGCATGCCTGTAGTCCCAGCTACTCAGGAGGCTGAGGCAGTAGGATTGTTTGAGCCTAGGAAATTGAGGTTGCTGTGAGCTAGGCTGACGCCATGGCACTCACTCTAGCCTGGGCAACAAAGCGAGACTCTGTCTCAAAAAAAAAAAAAAAAGAAACAGGCTTGCAGTGACTCAGTTACGTGCCAAAGTCACATGGGTAGCAGAAGTGGAATTTAAACCCAGGTCTATCCAACTCATGCAAGTGACACAGCCTTTAAGACAGATGGACACACACATGGATGGACACACGAAGGGGAACTGGTGTTCTGGGCCCTGCCCACTCACCGGTCGGGGACGCAGCTGCAGTAGCTGGGGGTTGTGTATGGGGAGCTGCTGGAAGAGCAGGAGAGACAGGAGGAGCCCTGGCCACACAGGGGCTCTAGGTGCCAGGCTGGCAAGCTGGGGCCAAAGCCCTGCATCTCGATCATGTCACCAGCATCTGAGGGCAGGAAGGGAGCCATGGTCAGGGAGTGACAGGCTTCTTCTCCCAAGCACCCTGCAGCATGCCCACCTCTGTGCCCAGAGCTGCAGCATGAAGTCACCCGTTGCTGGAAAACCACAGGGATGCTGCCTGCCTGGTCCAGAGCCCAGAGACGGAAATGGTGGGGAGAGAGGGTGCCGGATACTTCCCAGCCTCCAGCAAGCCTGGAGAGGACTGGCAAAGTGTCCTTCTGCACGTGATAAAATACTTGGGCTTTTGTCATGAATGACTGTGGCTGTCTATCTCCATCTCACTGCCAGCAAACACTCGCTTTTCTAGAGGGAGGGGAAAGAAAAGAGAAGGAACAAAGGCCTGAGTTCCCTAAAATGCTGCCAGTTAGCTTGGCCTTCAAGGATTCAGCCTGGTCTTCTTGGGCAAACTCTGCTGTGCTCAGAAAGGTGCTGAGAATGCTTCAAACTCTGAACCTCCCCTCTAGAAGAATCCCCACTAACCAAAGCCCCGGAGTAGGGATCCTCAAACTTTTTAAACAGGGGGCCAGTTCACTGTCCCTCAGACCATTGGAGGACTGGACTATAGTTTAAAAAAACTATGAACAAATTCCTATGCACACTGCACATATCTTATTTTGAAGTAAAAAAACAAATGGACAAAAACACCCGCATGTGGCCCGTGGACCATAGTTTGAGGACGCCTGCCCCAAAGGGATCCCGGAGCTACCTATCCTACAGGTCTTACTCTTCTGAGAGCATCCAGATCTGGTGGCCAGTTGTTAAGGAAGAACAGTGCTCCCTGCTGCCAGATCACATGGACCCCTTCTGAATTCTCCTCCATCCTCGCCTAGCCTGACTGCACTCAGCATGGTGGCTAGAAACACACGAGTGAGCTGGAAGGAAGGACAAAATTTCCAGGGCTGTTAGGCCACTGTGGGGATGGGGATGGTAGCTGGACACACCGGCCTGCTATCCAACATGCTAGTCATAGAAGAATGTGCCCAGGTATAGCCTCAGAAGACAGCTCCTTGGACACGTCTACACCACTGGCAGAGCGAGCTTTCTCAGCTCACCCAGCTGGTCTGAATCAGAACTGAAGATCCTTAAGAGCTTCCAGGGCCCAAGGAGGGCAGGGCACTGCTCATGGGGGACTCTGGCAGGTCCAGTAAGCCACGAAGATAAAGCAAAGTGAAGGCAGGAAGTGAAAGTACTAGGAGGTGATGTCAGGAGGGAGGAAGAGAGCAGAGAAGAGTGAAGAAGAACAAGGAGAGAGAGAGAGAGCTGTGTGTGGTGAGCAGACTTCTTTCAGCAGTGCTTTTTCTCCTTGAGTCTAGTGTGGCCCTGGCTCAGCCTGGGCCCTGGCCCATGGTGTGGAGCAGGCCTAGGACTGGTATTTGTGGGAGCCAGATCCCAGCTCTGGGTGTGCCTTGCTGGGGAGAGCTGAGCTGAGCCCCTTCCAGTCCCCTCAGGGGCTGCACTGCTGTGACTGGAGCTTGCTTCCCAGACCCATGGCTGGCATTTTTGTAGATAATCTGGCCCTTCAGCTCCACCAGGAGGCAAATTAAGGGAACACACTTGGTGAGGAGGGCTGCGGCTCTGGGAGTGAGGGGTTGCAAGCCATGCCTGAGACTCCGGGAAGGAGAGAGGGAGAGGAAAGTGCAGGTGGGGTGGGGGGGGAGCCCCTGCAGCAGGCAGGAGAGAGGTCAGTCCTGAGAGGAGCTGGGGTGCGGTAGGCCCAGTCGGGCAGGCAGCAGGCAGGAGGTGGGCAGGCAGGGAAGGTGGCAGGAGCAGAGGGCAGAGGGTGGCCACAAAGGGAAACAAGCTCATGCCCAGAAAGCAGGGCCCAGCCAAGCGAGTCTCCTGGGTCAATGCTCTTCACCTTAATTCTCCAGGAAGGAGCTGAACCAGCCAGCATTGGACACTGCGTCTCTGAATTAACCCAGTGCAGATAGCTGGAGCTCTGGAGTGACTGGGTGAGGGGCAGCAGGCTGGACGGGGGGTCTGATGGGTCAGCTTTGACTCTGACTCTCTCCTCTGAGTGTGAGGAAAGTGTAAAGCAAAACAATCTGGGTGGGTGAACCCCACAGCCCCTAAGACTCCGAGTGAAAGGTGCCTGGCCTGGAGCAGAATTAGAGTGAATAGCATCTCTGCTCTGTGGAGGAGGCAGCAGGAGAAGGAAGGGAGAGGAGGGGGAGGGAGGGGAAATCTGGACACCCCGCCACTTGATTCACATGCACAAGTCAAGCATGTTGCAGGCCTGAAAAGCAATGGCTGGCAGAACGAACTCAACAGTGTTGTCATTATGGACTGGAGTGGAGGGGGCTCCATCCCCCATCCCAACTCCTTAACCACCTGTGGATTCTTTTATGCTTCCTTTCCTTTCCCAAGTATTAGGGGCCGAGGAGCTGCAAACTGGGTTGCTCTAGCCCCTGAATTCCAAGGGGATTCCTAGACAAACCCTGAGGTCTCTGAACCCCTGGAAGTGGGCCTAGACGTTTCTCTGATACCTGAGGCCTCAGCCCTAAGACTTTCTATCACCAAGTCTGCCAAGACAAGGGCTCTGCTGGGACCTTCCAGCCTCTAGCCTGATGACCAGCTCACAGGGTAAGAAGGGGCTTCTTGGCCCCTTCTTGGCCCTCAGAGCTTAACCTTCCCACACAGCTCAAAGTTAGTTAACCTATAAATAAGCATCAGCCTTAAGTCCAGGTGTGCAAGGAAACAGACAGTAATAAACACCAGAAGTGGACGTTCCCGACCTGGCCTGGCCTGCAGACTCATATGGGAGGGGCTGGGAGTGGGCGTGGGCGCAAGGGCAGGGCTGTGCTGACGATGTGCTGGGTGTGTGCTAAGCCATAGCCTTGGCTGCCCAGGGACAGAGAGACTCATTATCACTGGCTTAGTGGCGGGGCTGAGGAACTGGGCTTCTTGGCAGAACTTTGTGGTAGCATAAGAGGAGTGACATATTCTTAAGATACTCTCTGTAGCGGAAGGGAAACAGGAGAAGCAATTGACTCTGTGGCACAGGAATGGGTGGGGATGGGGAAACTCCCCAACCTCTTCCTAACCTACTCTTTCTTGAACACCTCTGCCCAGCCCTCACAGGCCCCCTGCCTGATCACTCTACAAAAAGAGGGGTTCCTTCTTCACCAACCAGCTCTGTGCTATGAAAGATGGTGGTGGGCCAGGCGCAGTGGCTCACGCCTGTAATCCTAGCACTCTGGGAGGCCGAGGCAGGTGGATCCCTCAAGGTCAGGTGTTGGAAACCAGCCTGAGCAAGAGCGAGACCCTGTCTCCACTAAATATAGAAAGAAATTAATTGGACAACTAAAAATATATAGAAAAAAAATTAGCCGGGCATGGTGGTGCATGCCTGTAGTCCCAGCTACTTGGGAGGCTGAGGCAGGAGGATTGCTTGAACCCGGGAGTTTGAGGTTGCTGTGAGCTAGGCTGACGCCACAGCACTCTAGCCTGAGCAACAGAGTGAGACTCTGTCTCAAAGAAAAAAAAAAAGAAAGAAAGAAAGATGGTGGTGGACAGAGGATCACTGAGGGGCTGTGGCCACTGTGCTATGTTATCTCCAGTGAAGGGCACCTCTGCAATCAAGGACACTGGGAACACACCTGTCATATATCCTTGGCATAGCACCTGGCACAGATGAGGCGACCGAGCTTCAGGACAGTGAGACATTGGCTCAAAACCGTACAGTGAGCCAGGGCATATCTGGGGCAGGAATTCATGTCTCCAGGTCCTGAGCCTGTGCCTCTTCCTGGATACCATGCTGCAGATATTTCTAGATTTCATGCTAAGGTACCAGGCCATGGTGGAGCCCTCAGGCCTGCTGGGAAAACTGAGCCCTGGTGTCTCTTCCCATGGTGGCTCCCCTAACCCCTCACCTGACCCACAGGACTCGCTGTCTGCATGACCTGTCCAGCTCCTCCCCCTCCCCCAGGAAGGGCCTGGCACCTCTGTCCTGTTTCCATTAAGTCAGATGTCATAGGCACAAGGCCAGAGGCTGTTCTTCCCAATCAGCAGAAGAAAAAGAAAGAGACCACTGTCTGGCATTGGCCAGCATGACCCCCAGGGGTAGGAATGGGCTCAAAGAGCCATTCAGGGTCCCCAAGAGGCAATCACGTAATCAGACCTGCCCATCAGTGACCTTCCTTCCTCTCAGGCCTGCAGCCCTCTTCCTACAGCCCAGAGCCACCTGCTCTGTACCATCCCCTCTTCACGCCAGCACCTGTCTGGCCTCCTTCCGCCCTCCCTGATCTGCCTCCTGATGGAAAGGAACCACCCTGGTAAAAGTCCTCTAATGCCAACACTGCTGTTCGAGCTCCTGCGGTGGGTGGCAGGTGGGCCCAGGGGGTGGGGTGGGGGATGAGGCGGGTCAGGGAGAGGGGAGGGATAAAAACCTTTCATCGGATTGGGAGCTGTGAGGTTCCGCGAGCAGATCATTGAGAGCATCGCGTGTAGTTTATCCTCCTCTTCCTCATCATCGTCCACCGAGGCCGCGCGGCTGGCCGCTAGGTGGTGGTAGTTAATAGTGACTGCTCAAAGAGAATAGCGAGAGAGGCAGAGGCATGAGGACCCTTGTCCCTGAGCAGGAGGAATTCCCTCCTTAAGTTGAGTAGAATGGAGGCTGGGATCACCTTGAACCTACAGGGCACAGAAGAGGGGAATAGAGGGGACCAGAAAGTTCTTTGGATGATTTACTTGGGAGAGTGCGGAAGAAGGTGAGGGGCTGGGGGCCGCTACACAGTTCCACTCTTTGGAGGAGGCCCTCTCTAAGGAAGAACAGAAGAGAGAGAACTGGGCGGTGGGGGAGTGATGTGAGGGACAGGGACTGTCTGGGACAGGCTGTCAGCTCAGGAGCTCACCAGCCCTGGCCAAGGCTGGCACGACTGTTGGCAGATGGGTCCTGATCATTCTTCAGCTCTTGTCATGGTCAGGCTAGACCAAGTCTAAAGATTACCCCAAATCTCTCTTTTCAGACTATAAATTCAACCTTTTCCTCCAAGGGTTTTCCCACAGCCACCCTTGAGGAGCCTGAGTCACTCAGCTGAGCTTCAGCTCCTTGGTGCCCTGGCTCACCCTCTGGAGAAATGGTCCTTGAAGTGAATGGAAGTGACCAGAACTGGAAAATGCCAAGGATTAAAGAGGGGAAGCAAAGACTGAATAAGCTAAACTGAGCAACAGCCTGAGATCGCCAAGTCTGCAAACACATTCTGGCAAAAGATGTGTCTCCTTGTCAGGTACCTGTGGGATGGGAGGGGGAATCCCACTTCTTGTGCCCCTTAAGCCCGCTGGGACTATTCATGCTGTGGCTGTAAGTATGCAGTCTGGGTGATCTCTCTGCTAACATAGAGACAACTTGTTGACAACTTTTTGGCGCAAGTTAGGAAATTTAGGGAGCAGGTGGTCTGGTTGGCAATAAATAGTTTAGGCTGGCAAATTTCCTGACTTTATCTCCAAGAAAAGCAAGTCTGGCCCAGAGAAACCTATCGGTAATGGCAGCACTCTGACCAGAGAGGGAACTTTGACGTTAGTAGATACATCTAGATAGACCCCCTCAGGCTCAGGGGTGTGTGTCTAGGGTAGGACCTGTGAGGGCCAAGCCACTGTAAGGCTCCCAGCCCCCTCAGTCCCCCAGGCAGCTCCAAGTCTTTCCCTCTTCAGATAAAACCTCATGCCTTAGCTAAAGCTCCTCTCATCAGTAGCTGGTTTGAGCAGGGCTCTGGCTCTAGGGGAGTCAGTGAACAATTCTCACCAACCCAAAAGAAGCACCCATCCCACCACACCCAGGCCTCCTTGTGGGAGTCGGGGGGCAGCCTGAAGAGAAATGGAGAGTTTTCTACCTCCTGTTTCTAGTCTCCCAATGTTTTTCCCCCTGGGGAAGGGCATGAAAGGATAACTAAGAGAATCTTGTGCAGTGATGCCTGGGTCTGTTGAGTGAAGAGGTAGGGAAGAGAACTAGGTAGAAGACAGGCAACTTTTCAAAGGGATGATTTGCAGGTAAAAGGTCCATTTGAGAGGCTAAGTGATGAATTTCTTGTCTTAATGTGGCCAGGTCAGTAGATCCTGCCTGCTGCCCCTCCTGGGTGACATGGCACCCCTCGCCACCCTTGGGCACCTTTCTCTCCTCTTCCAGGGATAAAGTATGGGACACTCACTGTGCTCGTGCCTGTGCCCGGGGTAGATGATCCGGAACACATAGTCTGTGGCCCGCCCCATGCCCATCTCTTCCACGTCCATAGACCGCATGCTGCTTCGTTTCCGTAGCTTGGGGAACACCTTCCCCTGTGGAAGGAGGGGTGGGTGGTCAGCCTGTCTGAGGCAGAGTCCCATGCATGGTCCCACCCAAGGCCGCTCCTAAGAACTCCACATGGAGAAAGGAAGGGAGGTGGGCGGAGAACCCACCCCACATAGCCGTTCACCCAGAGCCTCCCGTGTCCTGAGGTACCTTCCCCTGCTGGGTCCACAGCGGGGGCTCTAGCTGTCCTCGAGGCAGCAGCCCATTCTCCAGACAGGACAGAAAGGACAGCAGGTGTCCTCCCTGTGGGAAGTGCAGCGGTGGCCTCTGGATGCCATCCTGGCTCACCAGCACGAGTGTGCCACCGCTCTCTGGGGGGGTGAACATGGGTGAGTGAGGCTGGGCCCTCCTCAAGACTCCTCCCCATCTGTCACCATGGCCTGTTGGCCAGGCTCCTCAGGCTAGGTAGGACAGCCAGGCTAGAGCATGGCCAGGAGCCTCATTAACAGGGACAGTAGGAAGACAAGTAGTAAGCAGTCCTGTAGGTCCCATGCATGGCTGGGAGAAGGCAGCCTTTCCCTTCCCACCCCTGTGCCAGGGACAAGGCAGGCTTACTTTGCTGGTGGCAGTGGATGCAGACGATCTGACTGAAGGGCACCACCAGGGCATAGTCCCAGTAAACGCTGGAAAGGAACCAGATTGGTGTCACTGTGTCCCAAGACCTGCCATCCATTCTGCCTTGTCTCCTGGCCCTACTACCCCCTGAAACCACCCTGAAGATAGGAGGAGCATAGCCAAGAAGTGAGCTCAGCCAGCCATGTCCCCTTGAGTTCCATGCTGCCCTTATGGCACAGAGCCTGTGAGTCTCGGCTTCCTAGAAGTTGGCTCAGGCAAACTTCTTCATGCCCAGGCTTGGCTCAGTCTTAGAGAGCTTGGAAATAACTCCAGGCAGCCTCTTCCTGCAATTCTTGGTGTCTGTATAAGGAGTGAGGTCTGCCTGTGGAGCAAGCTGGGTCTCTCCATCCCCTGGTCTGGGGTGAAGCCCCCACTCCCTTCCCTGGCTCCTGGGAGTGAACCCCAAAGCCCCCACCTCTTTTCCAGCTCGGAGTCCCCCAGAGTCCCATTCATGAGCTGGTTGGGGGTCCACTTCAGAGTTAGGCTCTCTGCAGACTGGTGCAGGGAGAGGTAACCAGGGACAGCCTCCATGTCCTCCTTCTATAGGGAGGAGACACACCAGAAAACAGAGACAATGAAGGACTGAGAGGCTCTCAGGGATGGCCTGTGAAAAATGACTCCAGGTGGGAGCAGGGGAGGCCAAGCTAGGCTAGACATGCGGTCCTGGACTGGGGGCTGAACAGAGCAAAGGAGGATAGGAACCACATGGCAGATCTGGGCATCTCCTCTCCTGGTTGGCCTCGTGCTACTGGCTCTCTTCTGTCAGCCTTCTGGATGTCAGGTGCATCCTAGGCCAGCCATGCACGAGCTGGCATTCACCCGCCTGCTGGCTGCCATTCCTATCCCTGGATGGCCTGTCTCAGCTAGAGCAGATGCTATCCCTGGCTCCTGCCAATTCAAGGCTGGGCATGAGTTATATGAAACAGTGTGTGGGGAGGGGGGTGTTCTCTCCCTTCTCTCTGGTCAAGCTTTTTAGGAAAGGAACGATTATAGCTAGAGGCTTCCTGTTCTGGGACCTGTGGAAGAGGGAGATTGAGGGAGGGGTGTGGCATAAGCTTTCTTACCGGCTGTACCAGCACGTTGTTCTTGCCGTAGAGCAGTCGTGTTCTGGAGTTCTGGTGCAGAGACTCCACGTATTCACGGGCGCAGGCAGCTAGCCTGTCCTCCGACGCACTGCCACTTGAGTGCCGCTTCCGGATCTGTGCAGAAAGCACGGCTCAGCCTCTGTCCTTGGGAAGTCAGCCTCAGGGTTTGAGAACACTCACACCTCCATGCCAACCCTCCTTTGCTAACCCCAGGGTCCTTCCTGTCCCCAGTTTTCTCTCAGCCACCCTCTGCTCTCCAGCCACAGACCGGCATGGGCTCCTGGCATTTCTGTAAGGACTAGTGTGGGGAGAAGGCTCTCCTGGGGTGGCCATTACCCTGGGGCATCTCCAAGGCCTGTTCTGTGTGGCCAGTTTCTTCCCTTCCCTATAGGTCCGTGGGCACAGCCTGGGTGAACACAAGGGTATGGAGAGGGACACTTACCCCTAGGGCTGGGCGCTTTGCAGGGGAGTCCTGCCGACTAGGGGGACCCCGGATACGGTGTCTCTGGACCAGCTCATCAGCAGACGGGTCAGTCCAGTAGTGATCAGCTGTCTTAAGCTTAGTGTATTCCAAGGCACAGGGTCCCACTGTGGAGAAAGAGACAGACCGCTTGGGTGGTGCTCCGTCTGCATGTGCCCTGTAGCCCCCACAGGCCAGCTCAGGCCTCTGTTCTCTCAGGCTCACCGAGAAGAGAGGCCAGGATCGGGCCAAACACAGGGTCTGCCAGCAACGCCTCCTTCTCGTAGTACTTGCTGCCAGGAGGAGATAGACAGGGTGACTGGCGAGGCCCCTGGACTCATTCCAGTGTGGTTGAGCTCATGGATTAGGAACCTCGCCACAAAGACCAGATTCACATCAGTCACCAAGAAGGAATGAGTCTGTAAGGACCATCTTTGCAAGGTGCCTGCTGTGGTTTATGCTTCTGGGGTGCTGGAAGGGGATTTCCAGGCATGCCTACAGCCTGTCACGGCCAGTCAAGCATGCCAAGGGGTGGGGCTAAAGGACTATTCAGGAGGAGGGACAAGGGGGGGCTGCTTGGGGGATGGGGCAGTCACCTGCAGTTTTCCGACAGGTACTGCACAATCCTGTCCAGAACTTTCTCGATAAGTGCTGTGCGTACCCATATGTGTTTCAAGGCCTGTGGGCTGAGGGCAGGGGTCTTCCCGCTGGTCGAGCCCTGTCTCCGCAGGGCTTCCTGGCTGCCCCCTGAGGGTTTCCTGCAAAGAGGATGAGGGCTTCAGGAGTGCAAGGGTCCCAGGTAAACCCCAGATTGGTGGCACTGGGAGTGGGGCTTGGTGCTACAAGATGGAAGCACAGAGGACTGGGTAGGGGTTGAAGGGGGATAGGGCCTTGTGCTTACAAGGAGTCAACAACCACCTTGGGCTGGTCTCTTACCCAGAGGTCCCCCAAGAGACAGGCCTAGGAAGCCAACCTTTGGTGGGTTTTCTTGGGAAGTAGCAAATGCCAAATGGGAAGAGCAGAAGGGTGGGGTGGAAGGGGCTGGCCTAGGGCTCACCTGCCCTCTACTTGTTGCTGCAGCTCCTGTACCTTGTGGCAAATCTCCCCAGCCACTGGGCACGTCTTCCCCACCTTGGTGAACAGGGCTGCCATCTTGTCACTTCGCAAGAAGCCAGCAGCACGGCGTCTCAACTGATGCAAGAGGCAAGCCTCTACTGCACCTAGACCACAAAGGAAAAGAGCACCTGAGCCTAGGCAAGATGGGAGCAAGACTCCTCTTCCCCATACCTGTGGTGTGGCAGGGGGTAAGGGCAGGCCCTGATCCATACTAGAATTAGAAGCAGGCCAGGAAGATATACCCTGGCCTCCTTCCAAAATTCCCTTCCCCATCCCTCTGCTGCCGCCCCGGGTGGAGAGCTTGGACGTGCCAAATTGTCCTTCTTTGTTACCTGGTGTGTGTATGCCTCCTTATGTAGCATCACCCCTGGGGGCATGAGGACCAAAGCTGCCCTTTCAGGTTGGCATGACTGGCTCCAGCCCTGACCACGAGTGCAAGCAGGGACGGCACCCACAGGCCAGGGGATGCAGGGAACATGTGGCCCAGGAGCCCTCCTAGAGAGCATAGATGATGTGGCCACTAAGGAACATGGCTCTGGAGGAGCTGAAATATTGATAAAGCCACTGCAGAGATAAGACCCAACAGTGACCTCTGTATTACTGATAAGCCCAGCAGCTAAGAGAGATTTCTCTTTTCCGTGCTGGGAGAGCTTCCTTTCATTCATTCATATTTTTAAGGACTAGGTTTTATGTCTCTGGATCCTGCTTACCCAGACAGACCTTGCAGGAGGGAAAGAAGGGCTTGGAGGAGGAGCGAGGGGAGTTACACTGGGCTTGTATAGACTCTAAAAATATTAGTGTGTATGTGTAGGGGGAGGGGAGGCTTCCTTCGACATTATTGAACTGATTGTTTTATAAGTGAGGACAGAAAGACCCTGAAAGGGAAAGAGATAGAATCACAGTCACACAGTGGCAGAGCCAGGGTCCCAAACCCTGGCCTGAGCTCATTTCACCACTTCCAGGTGTGTTTGGGGGTGGGGACACAGGTGGGAAGAGGAGCTCCCTTCATATCACAGGTGCTCTTTTCACATGGATTGAAAACAGTGAGCTATGCTGGAGACAGGAAGTCAGACAGAACAAGGTCTGAACTTGGTGCAGCCACTCACTTCCTCTAGGAAACCTGGGTAAGTGACTTAATGCTGAGATTCAGCTTTATCGTCTGTGAAATGGGGAACCGGCTGGTCTGAAGGTAGTGAGTTATCTCAACAGATTGTTCACAGTCAGTTACAGATCGAACTCCTTGTTCTACTTTTTCCCCCTTCTCACTAATGCACTTGACTAGTCTTAAAAAAAAAAAAAAAAAAAAAAAAGGAGAAGACGTATTAGAACTGGTGTGAGATGTTACATGAAATGAAATATATGAAATCCGTGGCCAGGAGTGGTGGCTCACGCCTGTAATCCTAGCACTCTGGGAGGCTGAGGCGGGCAGATTGTTTGAGGTCAGGAGTTTGAAACCAGCCTGCCTGAGCAAGAGCGAGACCCCGTCTCTACTATAAATACAAAGAAATTAATTTGCCAACTAATATATATAGAAAAAATCAGCCGGGCATGGTGGCGCATGCCTGTAGTCCCAGCTACTCAGAGGGCTGAGGCAGTAGGATCGCTTGAGCCCAGGAGTTTGAGGTTGCTGTGAGCTAGGCTGACACCACGGCACTCACTCTAGCCTGGGCAACAAAGCGAGACTCTGTCTCAAAAAAAAAAAAAAATAAAAAGAAATCCCTTGCACAGGGTCTAGCTCTTGGGGAGCACCTGATCCACATCAGTTCTTGACTCCTCACCCGTTTTGTTCACACACTGTTCTATAGCTAACCTGTAAGAGCTGGGTTTTTGCAGGACTTCTCCCTGGCAGGGAGAGGAAGAGGATGCCCCAGAGTGGGTGGAGATGCCACTTTCTTAGAAACAGGCGAACTGAGGCCCCATCAAGTTTATTTTGACTAGTGCTGTTAGAATATGAAACCTAGAGTTAGAATTAATCACTGAAAATAGAGTTTCTCATACCTGTTTTTTGCCTTCACTTTTAGTAACTGACTAGCAGTCACTATTGGCCTACTAAAGAGTTTTGCTCGGTCCTCTCTTGGACTGAAGTCAAGAAGGTGAGAGTGTCCCCGAGGCCAATCTGGAGGACGGACAGCTCAGGGAGGATATCCCAGGGCAGGGGAAACAGGCAGGACTGCTCCTTCTCCTGAGAGCCTCCTGCTGGAGCTCTTCCCTGCTTTGGCCTGAGAGGATTTTATTTTACAAGGTACAGCCTTTCCTTCAGTGTGCTCATACATATATATGCACATGTGTATGCAGACAGATGTATCTGCACATATCGTGTCATGTGGGAAAATCTTTGCCTTAAGTGCTCACATACTCCTCTCCATGATTAGTCCTCCTGGTTCCTGGAGGTCTTGTGTGGCCCTCGGGTATACAGGCAAGTGACTCTTTTGTCCTAGTCTCTTGGTCCTCAGGCTGCTGCAGCTACGAATCCATGGCTGAGGGAAGGTGCTAATCATTTCCTGGGGTTGCACTCCCCACCGAGAGTGAGGAGAGAAGCAGCACTGAACAGGGCCAGAGTGGCAGCAGGTGGCACCAGTCCTGCAGGGAACCATGTGCCTTGGTGATGTGACTAATTGTTGGGATAATAAGTCATTAGCCTTCCCACTGTCCCCAGGCAACCGCCAACGCAGCCAGGCCAGGAAGCTGGAGAGTGGCCGGCACCGGCACTCCCATCCCACCTGGCTTCTTCTACCTTTCCAGTCAGCCTCTGAGCACAGACATTGGGTTCCCTTGGGTGAGCAGAAGCATTCTTCAGCAAGAACCCCAAACATCACACCCAGTCCCCACCTCCCCACTCCGTGGCCCCTAAGTTCCTTCTGTGAAACCCAGGCAAGATGCCAGGCGATATCTGGGGAAGGAGAAATCCCACTCACCCCTCGACTTCCCAAGCAAAGTAAATGAGCTGTTAGGCCAGGTATGCTTGGCCCAGTTCCATGGGCTCCTTGGTCAATGACTGTTCAAACTACACTTGTCTTTCCCCATTCCCACAAGGGAGTCCCCCACTGAGAGAATCAGCATATTCAATGATGTTATTATATGCAGTGTGTAGGCAAAATAACATTTTTTTCCTTTTTTTAGGAGACAGAGTCTCCCTCTGTTGCTCATATTGGAGTGTGTAGCTCACTGTAACCTAGAACTCATAGGCTCAAGCCACCCTCCTATCTTGGCCTCCCAAAATGTTGGGATTACAGGCATGAGCCACCGCACCCAGCCAATAATAATAATAATAATATTCACATTCGAGCTTCTATCTAAAAAAAAAAAAAAATAATAATAATAATAATGATAATGATAATTAAGAACAAATATCCTAAGAGGGTTTGTGGATGGGCTTCATGGGTTCCAAAGACCCCCTGAAGTTATTTCCATGCAAATTGTTGGTGTGCTCTAGGATGATTAGGTGAGTGTTTTTTTTTTTGTTTTTTTTTCTGGACAGTGGATCCATGGTTATCAGCTTCTAGAAGAGAGTACTTGATCCCTAAAAGATTAAGAACCCCTGCCCAAGACTTTTGAGTTGAGCAGAAACCCAGATATTTCCTCTGTAACTTAGAGATGCAAACATAAACACATACACTCTACAATATATACTGAATACCACACTTAGAGCCATCAGCTCACAGAGCCATCAGCAACAATATCCTTACTCCCCAGAAAAGGCCTGTCACAGACAGAGTAAGGGACCATCAAGCACCCTTCCCCAGGGAGAAGTCCACATAAAGGCCCACTCTTATTCTGTCTGCTCTCCAGACTGATGGTCTAGGTCACCAAGCAGAACTCGAAGGCTTTATTTCTCTTTCTTCCCCACATCTCCCACCATGACCCCACCTCCCAGGGTGAAGGACTGTGGCAGGAGATACCCATAATTAGCTGAACTTATCCTCCTGCTAACTGAGCTGTCTGGGCCCTGGGCCTCCAGCTGTGAAGGATTCAGGATTCCCCTGTCCCAGTGAGTCCTGGCACTACCTATGGTCACTCTGGACGTACCACAACAAGGTGACAACTCGGACATCATTTGGTTCACTTTATATGAGAAAAATGTGAACTTGTTAATTAAAACCAACACTGGTTGGGGTGGAATACTTTGGGCAAATGAATCAAAATGGAAGTAGAGAGAGACACAACTTAACAAGCATGACCCTCTCGCTGTCCACCCTGGCCTTCTGGTGGCCTTTGGAATTTGGGCCAGATGAGCCCAAGATACCTTCTCTACTCTGCCATGCCATGCCATCCCATCCCATCTCACTGACAGGAAGGCTCAGGGAACTGCAACTCTGAGCCTGCAGGAGCATAACTAAATTTAACTCAAGTACCTTGCTATGGACACCTCCTACAAAGTTCTGGTGCCATCTTCCCAGGGAAAGGCTTGGGACTACAGGTCCAGACTAGTCCTGGGACACATCGATGTGCTTCTAAAATTCATTAAGTTATGGAGTTTAACAAATGCTACGTGGGGCTGGAGACGTAAGTGCTAATGGAATCATACAGGGCTCCCATCCCAACCCCTTATACCCTGAATTTAACCATTCTAAGAGGCCCTACTTAGAGTGGAAAAGACATCAGGAAAATAGAGATGAGAGGGACTTGGAAAGTTGCTGAATCCACCCATACACTGCTGGTGGGAGGGTTAGATAGTGTAACCCTCTGGAGGTAATTTGGCACTATCTATCCATGTTGCAAATAACCTCTGACCCAATGACCCCTCTTCTGAAAATCTATGCTACAGATATAACTGCATGATTACCTAGTTATAACAGCAAATGACTGGAAACCATCCACATGTCCATCAAAAGGGGACAGTTAAGTAAATATGGTACATACAGAAGAATATCATGCAACTCTGGAAAAAGATTGAGGACCCTCCCCAGGAACTAAAAATGGAAAGCTCTCCTAAAGCAAGATGCAGAACAATATGATTGCATGATACCCTTTGATTATAAAAAAAGGTGGGGTGAACAAAGAATACAATCTTTTTTATTAGTGTTAAAAACTCTAGAAGAATACACAAGAAATAAAAGTGGTTACATATGTGGGAGTGGTAAGTAGAAGGAAAGTTGGTGAATGA